TTTTCTTTTTTTTTTTGCATATTTATTTTATTTCAAATATTTAATAATTTTCCAATATTTGGTAAAGGACAAGCTGGCAGTGGTGTGATGAATTTTTTACCTGAAACTAAATCCAAATGAAGCTTGTTGAATTTATAAAATTCACTAAAGAATAGATGAGAATTGCCCAATCATTTGAAGATTTATGAGATTATCGAATTGTATAAATTAATCTGGAAAGCCTTCATAGCCGTTTCATTATGTAATTATAAAAATTTATTCATATTTTATTATTAAATATACGTAATATAAATAAAATTATCTTACCCGTTTATAAGATCCATGCAAACAAACACTATCATTAATTAATTGAAATAATTGAAATATAATTGAAATAATTGTAATATTATTAATATTACAATAATTGAAATATTATTAATAAAAACAAACAAAACAAATAAATAAATAAACAAACAAACAAATCTTACGCTATATCCATTCGATCCATTTGAAAGATAACATAGGATGGTGAAACAAATTCCAGTGAAGTGTGCTGCGGTGGTGAATAACGTAATACGTTAACGTTATATAGTTGAACTCGTCCTGTTACACCTAAAATTATCATTATTATTTTAAAAAACTTATCACTCAAAAGTATCACTTAACTACTTAAATAAGAATGTATTCGATTAAATGAAGTGTGTATATTCCAATTATTAAATAATTTAAAAAATAATAGCAAAATTTTTGACCATGCTCAGAGAATGAATGCATTGTTTGAAATCCACTTAATTGTGAAATTTCCTCATTTAAAATTTTCACACCAACTTGTTTGATATGTTCTGCACCACTCTTTGTTAATCGCACTTTAACTGCTGGCCAACCTAAATTTTTATTTAAAAATATTCATTTCTCTTGAATTATTAAAAAAATGAAAAATGAGAAAAAAAACAAGTGACAAAAATTATCAAAAAATAAGTTCATTTAATTAAGGATTTAAAAAAAAAAGGAAAAAATAAATGAGGTTAAGTTGTAAAACGTAAAATAATTTATTGCTTTATGTTTTTTCATTTTTTAAAAAAAAAATTTACTAATAAAGGTTTATTTTTCAGTGTGTGACACTTACAATGATTATTTCTTGAAGACAAATTTTAATGGGAAGGAAAAATTAAATTGCAAAAAAAGTCTAATATTAATAGTAATATTTGTTTAATATTTATAAACTAACATTTTAAACCATTAACTATTATTTATAAGGTCTGATACAAAAACTGTTCAATTATTTATATAAATTTTGATTAATATTGAATTGTTGATCAACTAAATATAATACATTTGAAAAATTAAAAATTATAATAATAAATAAATCATTTAAAATGCAGCAATAAAATTTTAAAATGATTATTGTTTTTGAAATGCTATTAATTTTGTTCAGAAAATTTTATAACATAGCTTTCAAATATTTTTGTTTTTCATGTTTTTCTTTATATATATATATAAATTAGATACTATCATAGAATAAAAAAATGATGATAAATTTTTTAAATTATCAAAGAATTTTCACAAATTTTTTCTGAAATTTAAAAAAAAACGAATCACCTGGTGCATTATTCCATTTTGATGGCTTTTCAAAAACAATACGGCATTCTGCTACTAATAGAAGCAGAAATCCTATTAACTGAATGATTGCAGACGAATGATAAACCATACAGAAAAATAATTCCGGTTTTCTTTCCGGATTTTTTTTATACTGGATAATAATCACTCAAAATGATTATCTGAATACCGTATGTAGTATGCCTTTTGTGATAAATTCCTTTAAATGAATATTTTTAATTTTCACTTTCTTTCAGATTTCTTTTTTACTTTTCTATAAAAATTAAAAATTGAAAAAGTAATGACAAATAAATAAAGAGAAAGAAATAAGAGAAGAAATAAGGAAGAAAAGCAGAAGTGGAAGGAGACAGAGAGAAGGAGAGGGAAAAAAATGGAATAAAATGAGTTGAGTGGTTTACTCTTGATGATGTACCGATTGATACTGACTGACAAGGTATGAGAAATTTTTGCCTACCAAACATGATGACGATTATCTGTCGGTCATCTTGTCATCATTATTATCATTGTCGTTGTTATCATAGTATCGAGCCAACATCACCTTCAACAATTTTACTGATGATCATCTCCGAAAAATTTTCAAAACATGATAAAGATTCCGCTACTTGTTTTCCTATTCAATTCAAATCATCCGCTATCTCATATCTATTCATTCATATTATTACATATACAAATCAAATCCACTGTTCTTCTTTTCAAAACCAGAACAAATTTGAAAAGAGTTTTAATTCTTTATATTTCATAACGTTTGGATTATCGGTGAATTATAATGGTTAATAAAATGATTTAAGTTATTGCTCTTATCATCAATGTTATCACTAATAAAAATTATTATTGTTACCACCACTGTTACAATTATTATTATTATTATTATTATTATTATTATTGTTATTATTATTATTATTATTATTATTATTATTATTATTATTATTATTATTATTATTATTATTATTATTATTATTATTACAAAATCATCAGTATCACTAATATTTTGGCGAAATTTTTCTTCATCTTATAAAGTAATCATGAACATTTTATCGCTTATTGTTAATACATTCCCTCATTCTCTTCCTCTTATCAAAAGAAGATGCAGTGACTGAAGAGATTATTGTGATAACTTTATAATATTGAAATGAAAATACATGATCAAATTAGTGGTACATGAAACTGGATTTTTCTTTCCTTTTCACAACTATTTGTTTTAGATTTCGGGTCAAATTAAGTTCAATTTCAAAGATAAAGAAAAAATGGAAAAAAGAGGAGGTGAATGTGGACAAGAAGGGTAGATGGATAAATAAAAATGAATAATGTAAAAATATTTAAATTTTCTTTTTAAAAAAAATAATGAAAAAATTTATTAGTTGAATAATTAATCAGCAAATTATTTAATTTATTATTTAATCATATTTATCATGTTTAGATATAAAAATATGCCTGTGTGGGTGTGTTTCACGTTAACAACAGTTAGTTGATTCTATAAATTAATTGTTAGCAAAAATTTACACTATTTTTAAAAAGTGAAAGTAATGGAGGGAGGAGAGAAGATAAAGGGAGGGGGAGAGAGGAGGACAGAGATGGAAGGAGGTGGAGGAAGGGGAAGGAAAGATAGTGCACAAAGACATTTCACAATTCTTCCAAGAAACAACGTCGTTAAAAATTATTTCATTTTGGGTGTATGTGTATGTATGTGTTTTAAGGACGGGATTAAACCGAAAGGATAGGAAAAGGAAGAAAATGAAAGGAAAAGGGGGAGGATTAATTGAGCGATAGACCTATCTAAGTGTGCACTTTAAAATGAGTTTCAAAGATTTAAAAAAAAATTGAAACATTTTTCCTAATGTTATATGAGAGCAAAATGGACATTCTTTCTTGTGAAAACGATGCCGAGAGAAGGAAGGAGGGAAATTAAAAAAAAAAAAAAAAAAAAAAAACATAATAAAAAGTGACGATTTCTATAAAAATACATCATTTGTGGTTAGGAATGAATATATTATTTTGATTTTTCTTTTCATCTATCTCATTATAGCTTATTCATTTCATTTCAACAAATTTTAAATTTGCAAAAAAAAAAAAAACGAAAAACAGTAGAAGGAGAAGCAAAAAAAGAACGAAAGAAAGAAAAAAGGGAAAGCAGAAACTATAGGATTATTACTGATTTTGCTTTTAAGCAAAAATCTTTTAAGATTTGAGCAGTTGTTATCACTGTGTTACATTTAAAAATTAAACCAACTCTATGTATTTAGATAAATATTTATTCATTAACAGATAATTTTATGTGAAAAAACCTTTTTTGATTAACAATTTATTAATTTCAAATCTAAATTATAAATTAATCGACTGCAAAAAAAATTTTTTTTGTGCATTTTCGTAATGGATTACTCTCGTGTTCCTTTTGTTTTCTTTTTGCCTTTCTTGTTTTGTATAATTTGTTATTGACAACGCATTAATTAATTAATTAAACTATTTGATTAAAGTAAATTTGTTCCAAATAATTGTTACGCATACCATATTTATTACATAAAACTTTTGCTATAAAATAAGAAATGTATGCCAATTAATATTTGAATAATTTTGATATGACATATTGATTTGATAGTTGAATATAAACTTAATTTTTAGACAAAAAATCTTGGAAAAAATTGAAATTATATATTATTTAAGTCGGAATAAGATAAGAATAGCATATTTTTTGAAAACATTATATATATGGTTATTTGATTTTATTTATGCATAAAAATTTTAATGTATAGTGGTTAGTTGCGTAAATTTTAAAGAAAATTAATAAAAATCAACAATTTTATTTCAATGATATTATCCAGTCATTAATTTTCTTTATCTTCCAAAAGATTTTATTATTTTCAACGCGAAAAATTTTATACTTATTCAAAAGGTATATGTTTATTCCTCTTCTCATTTTATAAACTTTCAATTTCCATAAATCTTTTAGAAGTTGAATGAAATATCTACTGCGATTTTCTTTTATTTTTTGTCTCAAATAGCGATTATCTTTTTTTTGACAAACTTTTTTTTTATTCCAAGAAAATGCTTAGTTATGACATCAATTTGAAGCGTATGCACATAATAATTATTTCTGACAACAAATTTTTGCAAAAATATGACAAATGTAGGGATAAAGTATTTCAAAAATGTAATTTAAATGTTGGTAATTTGAAGATTATTGAAACTAAATGAATATGCTGGAAAATATAAATTCTTTTAAACTTTGGAAAAACTAAAAGATATTAACCTAACTTTGACAAAATTTAATTTTAAACTAACACATTATTTATTTAGAGTTCTACCTATTGTACCAACTTTCAATACATAACAAAACACTTCATTGTACAATAATACAATACCACATCATCTAGTCTTATCACATCTCATATCATATCATCATATTCAGAATGCAATCAGCAGCATTCAGGCTAGTTTCATTCCGTATTTTTTTCCTTCTATTCATTTTTTTTTTTTAAGATTCTGTCTTATACATTTCATCAAATGCTACATTGTTAAGAAACGAAAAATGTTAATTCACCTTTCTTTTCTGTCATTTTTCTAACAAAACTTTAAAATTTATCAATCAGCATAGAATAAGATACCACTTAGTATATTGGTTTTGAAAAATGAACAACTGTTTTAAATCATAGCACATTAGTAAATTTCTTTTCATCATTTTTTCTTTTTTTTGTAGTTAAAATTTCTTTCAAAAAAAAAGAAAGAAAAAAAATTTTTTAAAAAAGGCAAAATAAAAATTCCATTATCTATTTTTGTCTCTCTCTTTCATCTTTTACTAGAATTTTTTTTTGATCATTTAGGAATTAATAATTTATTTAATGTTATAGATTTCTTGAAGTGTCAACGGAATATTGTCATTCCTCGAACGATTATGAGACAACAATTTGGATAAAAGATCCAGATGTTGAATTTCGTTGTGCAACAATTCTCGAAGAATATGATGATAATGTTATTGTTGGTCTTCATGATGAAAATGGTCATTTTGAAAAGGTTAATTAATTAGCATTCTTTTATTTTTCTTAATTAGGTACGTGAATTAATTTTAAATTTTCTTAGTATTTTAAAAATTTTCTAAAATAAATTAATGAAAAAAAGTAAGAATTTAGAATTTGAAATAAAAAAAGCTTCTTCTAAAATTATTAATTGATTCAAGCAAAATAAATTTTTAGCGTGTTATACCAAAATCAGAGGTGAATTTATCAAGTGTGTCATATTTTGTTGAAGATATGTGTAATCTAAGTGAATTAAATGAAGCATGCGTTCTTGAAGTCATTCGTTCACGATATAAAGCACAACTTATTCATGTTTCTTTTTCTTTTCTATATTTTATTTTTTATCATAATTAATTATAGCAATTACATCATCAAAAAATCTTTACAAAATTTTTAAAGGAAAAAAATTATTTTTTTTCTTAATATTTAAAAAACAAGTCTTTTTATTTTGGTAATATTTTCTTTTTTTATCAATTTATATTATCTAATTTTATTTATTGTGTATGTAATTTTCTTCTTTGTTTTTTCTTCAACTTAATTATATCCAATTTTTATTGATAAAAAATTGAATTTGCTTTTTTTTTTTTGTTTCTTTTTTTTTTCGATAGACTTATTCGGGTCTCTTTTGCCTTGTTGTTAATCCATGGAAGAATATACCGATTTATACGAAGGAAATAATGAAAGCATATATGCATAGCATTGATAAAAATTTAAATTTACCACCACATATATATGCTATTGCTCAATCTACTTATGATGGCCTTTTAAGTGGTAATAATCAATCAATCTTAATAACGTAAGTTTTTTTATTTTATAATTGTATCATTTACATTGTAATTCATTTAACCATCATTACATTTAATTTACATCATTTTATTATTCAATATTATCATTTTTTTAATTTAATTTTAGCACTTTTTCATCCAAATCTTAGCATTTTTATAAAATTTAAATTCTTGTTTTAAGCAATTTAATTTGTTAATTTCCTTTTTCTAAAATAAAGTGCAAAAAATTTTTTGTTTGAAGAAACAAATTTAAAAAATAAAATTTTCTTGTAACCTGACGATTTGAATTTATTAATAGACTTCCTTTTTTCTGAAATAAAATGAAAAATATTTGTTTTGAGGAAAGAAATTAAAAGAAAAAGGGAGAAAGAAAAGCCTGGCATAAAATGCTTTCTTATAAAGTGATAAATGACTTAGAAAAAATTGGTGATATTTTTAAAAAAAAAAAGATGAAAATTAAAGTTTGATGGGAGTGATAACAGATATTTACCACTTTAATTACATTTTATCATCCTAAAGTGTTAGCTTTAGCTGCAAATACAAGATTTTGGAATTTTTGGCTTTTTTTTCTTCTTCAAAAAATATTAAGGACAGTTAAACTTTGAATAAATTAATATAATTGATTATATAAAAGCAATCAAATTTTACTGTCACTAGATTTAAAATTGAAAGAAAAAAATATTTATAAGAAAAAATGGATGTTTGCAAAAAATTAAACTTTATAAATAATTTCTTGCCATTGAAATTTAATAGTCAATTGTAATAAAATTAGAAAGATTTGAAGTTCGATTATTGCTAATATTTAAAAAAAAAAAAAAAAAAAAAAAACAAACTAGCAAAATGAAGTTAAAATTTAAAGAAAACGAAAAAATACGCAGACGACAATGATGTTTAATGAAAATCGTATAAAATGAAAGAAAAATTTAATTATGAGAACATAATTTAAAATCATTATAACCAAATTTTAGAGGTGAAAGTGGAGCAGGTAAGACTGTTAATACAAAACGAATTATTGAATACCTTGGTGTATTATCCGAATATCGCGGTGAATTTGGAATATCCGACGGTATCGATAAACGACTTACAGCTGCCGGAATTGTCATCGAAGCATTTGCTAATGCATCAACAATTCATAACAGTAACAGCTCTCGACTGGTATTAAATATCTTGTTGTTATTTTTACAATTAAAAAATTAGAGTCAAACAAACGCATATTTGTTTTATTAAGTTAAAATTATTTAAAGTTTTGTGTTTTGAAGAAAAATTAAGATTTAGAATGCGTTTTTTCCTTTTTTTTTTTTGCAATATTTAAGTTGAAATTATAAAAATACGATTTACGAAGTGTTACCATACAACAATGAATTATTCATAAAATTGTTAATTATTATTATTAATTAAAGGGAAAATTTATTCGGATAGATTATGGTGATGATATGACGATGAAAGGTGCTCAAATTCAAACGTGTATGGCATATATATATTTTATTATTTTTTATTGTTTTTTTTTTGCTTTTATTTCTTCTTGAAAATTGGAAAAATTTAACTTTTTTCTTTCATACAGATTTGCTCGAAAAATCACGCGTTGTAAAACAAAATAATGATGATCGGAATTTCCATATTTTTTATCAGTTGTTATCAGATGGCTTTGATAAGGATTTACGTTACTCGTTTGGCCTTGGACAAAAAGCTAGTGCATATAAGTTCTTAAATCAAGGTGGCAAAATTACGGATCCGGAAATTGATGATGCTCAAAGTGCTATAGATACATTGGTAAGCAACAATGGAATGTAATTAACTATTACATTGTTACTCTTGTTTACATGCATTTTTATAATTTTGTGTATTTTTTTTCCTTGCTTCCTAATATTTATTTATTTTTGATTAAATATTTTTTGAAATATTTTAAAAATAATTAGTCATAGCTTTGTATACAATTATTGATTTTCATAGTTTATATGTAACTTTAAAGTTTTGGAGAGAATTAAAATTTCTTAACTACAGCGTGCAATGGATACTATCAAATTTAGCAAACATGAAGTAGAGGAGATTTTCGAAGTAGTAGCTGCATGCATCCTTCTTGGTGAAATCAAATTTACTGAAAGAAGCGGTTTTGATATTACTTATGTTGATGGTGTTAAAGGTTAGCTGATACTTTATATGTATCATGTTTACAAGCTTTGTTGCATTTTATCTATTTATTATTAGTACCGCTATTATTATTATCGCTATATTATCACTATTATTGTTATTATTATTATTGTTATTGTTATTATTATTATTACTACTGTTACTACTAATAATAATTACTATTATTTTCATTGTCACTATTATCACCGTCATTATTAATTTTTATTATTATTACAATTGTTTGTAATATTATTTATTTAAAAATTATCCCAATTCTTCCTTATTTCAATTAATTTATGCATTCAAACAATATGAAATTATTTGCAGAAGTTGAAGCAGCATGTCGCATTCTTGGTGTCAAAACTAACACTCTTATTGATGCTTTAACTCAACCATCAATAAAAGTGAATGATGTGGTAATTAGAAAAAGTCAAAATCTTACAAAGGTTATGTAATTTGCAATTAGTTCTTGCCAATTTTAAATCAGTTTTTAATTATTTGGTAAATTTATTAAATGAACAAAAATTGCCCAAATTGTGATTTCTAAATGAATTCAATTCCATAACATAAACTAATTTTTCATTTTTTAAATAATTTTTAGCTCTAATTAATATTAAATTGTTCGTTCTTTTTTTTTTCCAAACTTAAGAATTAAAATTCAAAAAAAAAAATAAATAAATAAAAATTCAATTTTTCAGACATTAAGTTCATTGCTAGGTTTATGTAAAAGTATTTACGAACGACTCTTCAACTGGATTCTGTCACGATGCAATGCGGCACTAAATGAAACATTTCATCGTAAGTAATTTTTCTAGATGAATGGAGAAAATTTTTTGATGAGAAAATTCCAAAAAATCGAAATCACATCCGGAAATATCGGGAAAATAGAGAAATTCAAAATAAAGAAAAAAAAGGAATGAAGTTTTATAAATTTTTCCTTTTTAATAAATATTACTAAATTATTATCGTATTGAAATTGTTTAGCTAGTAAATCATCGCAAACTTATTATATTGGCATACTTGATATTGCTGGCTTTGAAATTACTAAAGTAAGTGTTATCATTTTCATCCTCATAACTGGTAAATTTTTTTTAATTTCTCAAGAATCATATCAAATTATTTTTAAGTTTTGTATTTTCTTTTATTTAAAAAATTTTGAAATTACTGAAGTTTCATTCTGAAAATATGAAAAAAGCGAGAATTTGTAGTTTATACCGATTTGTACTATTTTTAGTGAAATAACAATACAGAATTACCCAAAAAATTGCCTTTTTTCATATTAAATCACATATATTTTATTTAAAAAACGAATTTCTTTTTTCAAATTTAAAAAGTTAATTTAGTGAATGAATTCGCTATTAAATTTGCTAAAACTTCATCAAAGCACATATTTTTATTACTTGGATTATTGTTTGCTAATATGATAGCTTATAGCATTTTTTGTATGATAATACATATAATTTATAAGTTTTAACTTCATTTAATTTTCATTTATTAAATTATTGTAAGTAATAAATTTTAAAAGTATTTGTTAATTATTATTTCTTTCTTCCTTTTTCCGCTTCTTTCTTTTTGTAGATGAATAGCTTTGAACAATTTTGCATTAATTATACGAATGAAAAATTGCAACAGTTCTTCAATGATTTCATGTTTGTACGTGAACAACAAGAATATTTAAATGAAGGAATTGAATGGCAATATGTTGATTATGGCACTGATATGCAAAATACCATTGAACTTATTGAAAAGGTTATTTGTTTTTCTTTTCCCTTTATATCGTATTTAAATATTTTAATAAATTAATAGCTATTCTAGTTTGTATAATTAATTACAATTTATAATTATTTTTTTGTAATGTTTAAATGTTTTGATAAATTGGTAGTTATTCCAATTTATATAATTAATTACAATTTATAATTACTTGCTTTTTCTTTTTTTCTGTATGGATAAGTGGTTGTGATGAAGTAGTTTGATTCCCTTAGTTGGAGACAAGCTGGCGATTCTGTAGTTTTATAATGAAATAGGTTGTTATGTGTATGTATCCGGATGGGTCCAATTGTGGTTTACTGATTGTATGATCTGATCAGGTTTATTCAAGTATTTCATTGAATTAAAACAGTTATTCCAACTTACATAAACTACTGTTTATAATTTTTTTTTTTTTTTTTGTATTCAAATATTTGTTTAAATTAGAATAATTATTCTAATTTACATGATTAATTGTAATCCTTTTTATTTTATTTTTCTCCCTTTTGCACTTCCACTAAATTGATTTAATTATTTTAATGTACACAATTTATAAAATGTATAAATTTTCATTTATCAAATTGGTCAAATTTTTCATGAAAATATGTGCAGTATTGACAGTGCTAATAATTTTTCATTTATTTAACAAATTTATATAAATAAAATTTGATTCATCTTTTTTTTTTAATTTTATTTTAGCCATTAGGATTGCTCTCACTCTTACAAGAAGAATGTCTTGTACCAAATGGTAATGATCAATCGTTGCTTGAAAAACTTCTTTCTGCAAATGCTAACAATACTATCTTCACTCGTTCAAGACAATCAGCAAGGTTAATGTTTAGAATTAAACATAATTTTTTTTTGTTTGTTAAATTTTTATTTCTCAAATAAAAAGAATCAAATTTTTAGAAGTTCATTTTTTACTTTTGAAAGAAAAAAATAAAAAATCATGTTTTTGGAATAGAAAATTTTCAACATTTCATTTCCTTTTTAAATTTTCGATTTTAAATTTTAGTCTTTTTTTTGCAAAATATTAAAATATTATCAATATTTTAGACATACTACAGCATCACATTTTTCAATAGCTCATTACGCGGGTAATGTAGCATATAATATCAATGGTTGGGTTGAGAAGAATAAAGATGTGTTAGAACGAAATGGATTAGAAGTACTTGCATCAAGTACCAAACCTCTTCTACAAATTCTTTTCCCTTTATGTTAGCTATAATAATTATAAATTATTTTTTAAGAAAATAAAGTAAAAGAATAAAAAAACACCCATTTTATCAAATATATCTACAAAAATTTTATTGGTTAATTGAAATGATAAAAAGATGCTAATTAAATTTACAAACTAATTTTAGCCTTTCCTTTCCTTTTTTTATACAATTATTCGTAGATTATTTTTAAAATATTGTTAGCTCATTTGCCCAATGTTTCTATTTGTTTATTAATTAATTTATTTCATTTTTTTTTTAAATTTATAAGACTAGATATATTAGATAATTTTTAAACAAATGCTTTTATTCCTTTATAAATTGCTAATGATTTTTTGTGAATTATTGATTATTTATAGATTTCAGTGCATTTTTACACTTAATTTATTTGCAAAATAATCATTTCTTTCTTTCTTTTTTAATTTTTTTGAATATTAAAAATATGATTTAAAAAGCAGTAAACTTTTAAAATTGTAGTGGAAGAAGAAAAAGAAAAATCACGATCTAAACGGCAATCGATGTCATCAAATACCGTTTCATATTTGTATAAAGTAAGATAATTTATTATTACAATTAAATTTATTTTTTTTAATTTAATTATTTAAGAAATGATCAATTTATCTTTTATAAATAAATGAATTTTTTTAGGAGCAATTGTTAAACTTACTTCAAACACTTAACTCAACAGTGGCACATTTTATTCGTTGTATTGCACCAAATAAAACACGATTACCAGGTGTTATTGATTCACATCTTGTGCTTCATCAATTAAGGTATATATTAATAGTACAGAATTAAAATATATATTGATAATACAATATTTATTATAGTACATGTAGAATTATTGATGGGCTACTTTGTAATGAAATATTCATTTTTTATTGATGATAGTGAATAATTTATATCAAATAATTTTAATCATAAAAAATTATTATTTGAAAGTTAATAATGAATTTTTATGTAAAATGACAAATGAACATTATTTCAGATGTAATGGTGTATTGGAAGGTCTTAGAATATGTCGTCAAGGCTATCCTAATCGAATGACATTTGATGAATTTATTATAAGATATCGTATTTTGGCAACAAATGTTAGCCTTGGATATGGACAAATTGCTGTTAAACGTTTTTGTGATGCGATCAATCTTGATTCAACATGCATACAAATTGGAAAAACGAAAGTTTATTGTAAAATTGGTGTAATTTCAGAAGTATGTTTGTTTATTTGTTTACTTGTTTATTCGCCGTTCACTTGTTTGTTTGTTTGTTTTATTTGTTTATTTGCTCGTTTGCTGTATTTGTAAATAATATTAAATTTGAAGTTTTATTTCTAGATTTCTTAAATTAGGTTAAAAATTTGACATGTAATAGATATTATATTTTGCAGTTAGAAAATCGTCGTAAAAAACATTTAAGTGAATTAATGTGTGGAATACAGGCATCAATACGATGGTATTTGGAACAACAGCGCTATGAACAATTACTTAAAAATAGGTATTTAATATATTTTACGAAAAAAAAAATGTTATTTTTTTTTCAAAAAATTGATCAAAGAATTATTTAATTCATTCTATTATAGCATTTTTTTCATAAAAAAAAGTGATAGTTAATTTTCAGAGAAACAATTTTAACCATTCAAAGCAACATTCGATGTTTCATTCAAATTTCCACGTGGAATTGGTATCGACTGTTATTGATTGTAAAAGAACTTATACCATTGAATAAGGATAAAGTAAGATTGGAAGAATTGTTGAAAATAAACGATGAGTTAACAGAGGTATATTATTGTTATCATATTTTAATTGTAACAATTTAATATTAATTTCATTTGATCAATCTAAAAAATTAAATTAGATTTGTTAATTTTAAATTGGATTTAATCGAAATAATAAGATAACACATTATTATCCTGAACGGCAATAGCATTGATAATACCAGTGTGTTTTATTATAGTTATATTAATTTAATAATGATTAATTTCATTTTAATTTTTTCAGGAATTAAACAATTTACATGGTAATTATGATGAAGTTCGAAAATTATTGGATAAAGCTAATTGTAAAATTAAAAATGTATGTTTTTGCTTCAAATATTTATTTTGTTTCTCTTCTTTATTTTGGTTTTGTTTTCACTCTTATTTTTTTCTTTTAAATTAGATTTACCTTTAAATTCTTGCAATGTAATAAACCAAAAAATTAATTGAAATTTTAATTAACTAAATTACTTTGTCTTCTCTTCTTTTTCTCATTTTTTTCTCCCTTTCAGCTTGAAGATGAAAAAGAATCGTATATTTTGCAAAATGCTGAAATAAAGGAAGAATTGACGCGACATGAAAAACTTATGGAAATGATGGAGAAAAGATTTGATGAACAACATGCTAAAGTTATGGTAAAAAAGAATTTTAAATTAATTTTTTTTTAATTAACTGTAAAGCTTATTAGTAATTATAAACAGAATTTTGATAATAATGAGTGATCATCGTGGGTTTCTTGAATATAACAAATTAAAAAGTAATCAATTCTGAAAAATTATCTATGCATTATTATTTCCTGATTCATATCATTATTTTTCTTTTAAATATTAATGAATGAGAACAAAAATGAATTTTGTATAAACATTAAAAGATATTGAAAATTATTATGAAAGAAGAATAAATTATTTTTTGCCTAGAAAAAAAAAGTTTTTTTTTTTTTTTTTTTGATCTCATCGTTAATTAGTTCAGTAAATATGTGAATTAAAACTTGTAAACATTTTAAGAATTAATTTTTATCAAAGAAAAGAAACACAAGACTGCAATAAATTCTCCTTTTCTTTGGGTAACAAAAACTTGAAAAAAAAAGGTAATCTACAACTTTAGTTATTTTATTTGTTTTTATTTTATTTACAGAAAATACAGAATTGTTTGCAAGAAAATGAAAAGAAGATCGAATTTATTGAAAGTGAAAAAAAAAATCTTGAAAATGAACTCTGCAAGGTAAGAAGAAGATTTACTGTTAATTGAGAGCAAATGATTTAGTTTTCATTTTGCTTAACCAAACTTTGTATTTTTTATGGGGTTTGTATTTTATTTCACAAGTTCATTTGAAAAACAAAAGTTTACTTAAAAAGAAAAAAATGAAAACTGTGTGTTAAAAAAACAAAACACAAAAAAAAATGTGTTTAGTTTAAATTACAAAGTTAGTTTTCATTTGTACAAATTTCATTTTCTTTTGTTGAAATCTTACTTCATTTTTTTTTTTTTTAATATTTGAATAAAAAAAAGCGAAACATTTTTTTTGTGTCTGATTGAAATATGGACCTTAATTTTAAGCAACACAAATTATATCATTTGTTATCGAATAATAATTAGCAATGAACTTGTATTATTCCAATTATTGCAGTAAATTTTTGTTTAAAATTAAAAAAATCAAATTATATTTTTTTGTGTAGTTGAGAATTTGTAAAATTTGATGATTAATTGATTTAGAATGAATTAAAAGATTGAAAGGATTAATTGAAAGATTTTTACAATGTATTCATAAAATTCGAACATAACATTATGAATAATTTCTTAAATTATTCAAAATTTCTCTTTTTTTCTTTAAAAAAGAAAAGAAGGAAGACAGTGATATATTTTAAAATAATAAAAATTGATAAATATGATAAGTGACACTAATGATTAATAATTTATAGAGCAAACGTAATTATGAACGAGAATATGAATTTCGGCAACAAATTGCAAATGATTTGGAAATACGTGAGAGGACAATAAAAGAAATTGAATTAAAAACGGAATTAATGGATAAGGAACGAAATAAGCAATCAAATAAAATACAAGAGTATGCTTGAAAAAAATTTTAGACAAATTTTTATAATTATAAGGGATAAGTCTATAACATAAATTATATTAAGATAAAATTTAAATAAATGGGATGATATTTTGTTAATCAAATATCCGATTACTAATTAATTTTATAACAAAGGTTTAGTTGTTACAATTGCTAAACAAAATTAGCCGTATCATCTATATGTTAAAGTGTAGTTTAAAATTTGTGTACAAAAATAAGAAGTATTTTAAACTAGTGTCCTTTTTAAATCCATCAATTTGAAATTTTCTTTTTCTCTCTCTCTGTCTGATAGATATAATTTTTAAAATTTTTTAAACAGTTGTCTGGTTTACAAGAAAAGAAAAAAAGGCATCCTTTTTTTTGTTCTGTTTAGTTGAATTTTACTTCGAATAAAAATGAAAGGTGCAAAAAATACAATGCTGCTTCTAAAGTTGAAATATGCTTTTTATCTTTTGGTAACTCAGAAACATGTTAATAAGTGAATATTAGAGAAGCATCCAGAAAATTTGAATTAGAAAGATTTGAAAACTTAAATTAAAATTGTCAATAATAAAAGCACTTTTGCATCCTGAAATGATAATTTTAGGCTAAAGGAACAAGTGAAAAAATTAACCGAACATAATAATCAGCAAACGGACGTAATTACAAATTTGCAACGTTGTGTTACGGAGTTAAATGTTCGCAATTTCGTCATTGTTTTATTGATAGAAAAATATTTTTTAGCGGAAATTTTTTTCTGTTAATAAATAATACTGGTCAATCAATTTATCATGAATCCTTAATTATTGCTGACAAATCAGTGAATCATGGATTCCTGATATGATAAATTATAAGATCAGAAAAATTCAAATATTTTATTCCACAACGTAAAATAGTAACTGAATAGAATTCAAAATGATAGAAATTTTTAATGCATCATGATAAATTAATGAGTTCGTTGATCAGATGAATTGAATTATCGAAAGTTAAATCAGTAATTATTATTAAATGAAATGAGTTGATAGCATGATAAGAAATACCTTTAGCTGGGATGAATCTTTACAATGATAATTGAAATATAATGGTGATAAATACCAAATGATATATTAAAATGAATTATCATGGAAATATTTTGTCAATTTGATGATAACAGCACTAAATGATAATGATATCTTATTTTGCGGCATTAATTTACTTTCCAGGCAAAAAACAACAACTTTGATGATATAATGATAATGGAGAAAAAAATACGAAAGAAATTAGAAAACGAACGAGCTGAACAAGAGTTTGAAATGGAAAAACTGAAGCAAAATGAGCAAAAAGCAATGACAAAAGTGGAAACACTGGTACTTATAATACTCGTCGTGCAAAATTAGATATTAATTAAATATTGATCAGATATTAATCATATTAATTAAGTATTAATTAGAGTTATATATATGAATGAAACGTTAAATAGAATTAAATTAAATATTAATTGGATATTAATTAATTTAATTAAATTAAAATGAATGAACAAATTTCTGTGAAAAAAGTGTTTCTACATCTAGGTTAAATTTTGAATACTTGACTTTAAAAGTTAATTGTTACATACTCTAATTAGAAATATATTGGCAAGCAAAGTTTATTATAAATTTGACTTTTTAAATTGATACTGAATCGAATAATTTAAGTTAGTGAAAAATATTAGTGAATGTTTCAATTTTTTTTCTAATTTCTTTTCCAAATTACGCATTTTAGAAGGAAAATTGTTATGAGAAAGATAGAGAAATTCGAAGATTGGAAAAGAAATTAGATCAGACAATTGAGGAATCCAAAACAAATATTACTGAGATGAAAAAAATTCACAAACGATCAAAGGATGAGTTGCAGAATCGTTTAGATGAATTGAAAAAAGCTTATCAAAAGTAAATTTTGTAAATTCTTAAAATTCCTTATTTATTACAATAATTTAGAAATATCATTTTTGCATGCAATTAATGTAATGCTAGCATCGTATACTAATTTCTTGCATAATTGATATTTCAGACTGATATCTTTCCGAAAAAGTTAACAAATAAAATAACTGTTAATTATTCAATTTGATCCACAAAATTACCACAATTTACATGCATATTTTAAGACTGGAAACAGAAAATAAGACACAAACGATGAAATTTGAATATTCTGAAAAAGAGCGAGAATCTTCCATTGAATCAGATTATGGCAAGAGATTTATTGAATTAAATCATTACTGTTTGACTGTTTGCTTTTTTTTATCTTCATACATCAAATGTGTAATACAAAGTGAAATATGGCATCGCTTGATTAGAAAACAACAAATTAGTATGTGTACTATTCTTAATTAACAATTAATTCTATTATTCTATAAAATGATTAAATCATCATCATTGGCTAATAAAAGGAACAAATTTGATCAAGAATTATTTTAAAAAACTAGTATTATTGAATATTTTTTAGTAATTTGTTTTTTTTTTTTCAAATTTACAATGATTTCTTATATTTACATGTTATCTTAGTAAATGAATAATTTCTAAAATTGTACTTATTTTAGTATCTGGTGGTAGACAAAGTCGTTTGGGTAGTCGACAGTACTCTTCCAGTTCAATTGGTTCCATTGCATCAATTCGTACATTAAGCAGACGAACGGTTGAGCCAGAAAATAAATTTTCTTCTGGATTTCGTAGTCCTTCCACATTTTCACTAAGTTATTATTCGGTAAGTGATAAATGAATGATAATTGAGTTTAGCAATTATAAAAGTGATTAAATTGTGTGACTGTGGAATATGAATTTCAATATTTTACTTCATAAAATTCAAAAATGAATATTTCCAGGGTGATCCGTATAATCTGTCAAGAAGTTCATCACAAAGTCAATTTGCTAATGAACGAAAAATTTCACAGCTAGAACGACAAATTGTTTCCGCACATACCGATGTACAAATGTTGAAACGAGAAATTGAAGTGTACAAGTCAACATTAGCAGAAAATGAAAAAGTAAGTTCAGAGTTCATTGACATATTACAAATATTATTACCTCTTAGGCAATGATCAGATCATTCTAAAGTATTGATTGTTTTTCTGTAATAATTATTTATCAACATTTTTAATTAGTTGATAAATATTCTGTATTGCTTAGTTGATAAATATTCTATATTTTTTAATTCACCACTTATATTTTTTAATAGTTTCAAACAAATAATGTTCCTTCCTATGAATAATTACATGAAATCTTTTAGTGTTGATCGCATTGTTAGTATTATAGCTTTCCAATAGCATTTCAATCCATCATCTTAATGATGATGATAATAATTAGTAACTCTTAATTTTTGCTTTCAAACTTTTTCTTGAAATAGTTTTATTTAAGGAAAGAGATGTGCTATCGCAAAAAATTCGTACAATGGATATTTCTGTGAAAAAGTTGGAACAATCATTAAAGAATGAAGAACGAAAAAATCATGAATGTGAGTTACGATTGAAGAAAACACAAAATGAATTGGAACATATACGTGATAAGTATGAAAAAGCGATAAAAGATGGGCAAACGGAAATTCTAGAAGAAAGGTTTATTTTAATTAATTAATTTGATTATTCATCATCTTGTAATATTAGTTTAATTAATTCAACCATTTATTGTTTCATAAATTCAATCGTTGTAATATTATTTTAGTTATCACGTTAATTAATCTTCTTGCTGTATTAATTCAGTTTTGCAATAATTAATTAATTCAATTGCGCCTTGTAATATCTTCATTTCTGTTCAATATATTCTATTTCAGAAGAAAAACGAGATTAAAAATGGATGTATTATCACGTATGAATGAAGTCAAAAAGCGAGATGAAAGAGAACAAGCAATTGAAGAGTTACAAAAAGAACTTATTATTAAAACATCACAACTTAATCGAGTTTTGGCACAAGTAAAAACTTAAAATAAATATTATTAAATCCTTTTTTTTTTTTTAAATCAATCAAATGTTGTAAAATTTCTGATAGATAAATATAATGCGAATGACTTATGATATGAGTTGATAATTTATGCAAAAAACATTAATTAATTTGAAAAAAAATCATTCAAACATAATTATAATTTTTGTATTCTTTTTTTTCCTCCCTTCTGTGTTATACAATTATGTTTTTATAGGTCAATCATCTTGAAAATATCAATAAAACACAGAGTGTTTATGGAGAAACATGGGAACATCAATATCGTATGGCACTTGCTGAATTAGAATCATTACGTGATGAAAATGCAAGCTTAAAAACAAAAATACGCAGACAATATCGTGAAATTGAACTTTTAAAACGTGAGATTTTACATTATTAATTAAAAAACACGTAATAAAAAGCATTGAAATTACGCGTGTTATACGTCCATTTTTCATACCCCATATCCGTGAACTTTTCAAGTCCTCTAGCTCTCAGATTTATTGTTTAACATTTTTGTAAACAATTGTAAGATTATTTAAACAAACTAATGATAAATTATTGATTTGTTAGTTGCAGAACAATCAGAAATGGAAGCAGATGTTGCTATGTTAGAAAGTAAAATGGGTATATTAGCAACAGAAACAACAACAGAAACAGCAACAACAACATTAGCAACAATAGGAACATAAAGTTCAAATGATAAATATGATTTATAAATTTGATAATATAATATCATTCGTTTTGCTATAGCTAAAGCTTCTTATCGTTTAACACTGCGATCTATGAATTATTAAAATTAAATTAACTCAAAAAAAAAGCATACGAGAAAGAAAGTGAATTATTTCTACAAAAATTTTGCAATTCTTTTTCTGCATAAGTTTCAATTTGAATGATTGTCATTTTTTTTCCTAAAATATTAATTGCATCATTACCTTTCAATTTCTTAATTGGTTGAATTCCTTTAAAAATTACAAATCTTTTTCATCTTGAACTAGGATAAAAAAAAAAAATAAGGTTGCTTCTACCAATGTTCAATATTCAAAAATGAAGTTTTAAATTCAAAAAATTTTAATCAATTTACAGTTTTAAATTAGCCATGTATTAGGTATAAAATTTAACAAGATTTAATGATTTGAAGCCCTTTCAAATATTTATTTATTATCAATATCGCCTTACATTAATCAAAAGGTTATCAATAATTGTCACTAATAGTTATTAAAAAAGAGTTTCTTTATTTCAAAGAAAAAATATGTAGCTGTTTGGAATTTCTTTTATATTAAACAATGCTTTTCATACGGGTTCTCGAAATAGTGGAATAAAACCTTTGTATAACCCGAATCAAGAAATAATGCTACTGCTTACCTATTCTTAAATGAATTCAATTTCTTCATGAATGATATATAATTTAATTTATCGTTAGCATCCCGAACACTACATTTCGTACGAAACATAGTCGCTTAATATAAATGAATATATCAAATAATTAATAATGTAATAGCAACAATATATTGTACTTCTTACATTGCTCTTTGCTCATCAAATTTCACCGGTATATAACTTATTAAAATATCTGGTTCCTATTAGTGTGCTTAGTAATCAAATATAAAATTTATTACTTTCTTTGAATTATTCATTCTAGCAACATATATTACTACTATTACAGTACGATACTAAAGTGACTAACTTTTTTACTTAAGTGTTCAATATCACCTATACAGATGATGTTTTATTATTAATGCCTACCGCTATTATTATTATTTATTAATTTATTTACTTGTTTATTATCATTATTATTATTATTATTGTTATTATTATTATTATTATTAATTTATTAATTACCATTATTTCCGTGGAAATTATTTTATCAATAACAGTAGGAATTTTTTTTCTTTTTTGAGATGGAAAAGTGTGGATACAAGATATATGATTAATATATCGTTAAAATGCAATAAGAATCTATCAATTAGCGGATGAAGAATCCGGAAAATTCCAAGTTTTATGAACAAAATACCACTGTCTGCTTCCATTTCCGTTTCAAATTATTCAGTAGAATATGCCATAGTGATATTGTCAAACTTCCATCATTTTTTCGAGATAATATTTCGTTAGTGTAATAATACGGAAGTCATTTGCAAAAAAAAAAAAAAAGAGAAAAAAACATTAAACTACGATGAAAAAATCAAAGAGAGAGAATATTTGAAAAATATACCACTATAGGACAGATAATAGTAATCGAGAGAGATAAGAAGTGATATTGATAAGAGAGTGAATTAAATAATGATGAAAATTAGTAAACATATGATAGAAAAGAGGAAGAATGAGTCATCATTAAAATTAATAGCACACAATAATGATAACCTAAAATTACCGCAGTGTATATGTAATGATAATTAATGAAATGAGAAATGAGAAATAGTGGATGACATTGTAATAAATGTTTCATTCATTCATTTGTAATTTCTTTTACAATTTTCCACTGGTTCTTTTTTTTTTTCGTTGTTTCTCTTCCTTTCCTTTTTCTCCCTCTCTTTCAATCAAATCTCAAATTAATCTTCTAATATTGGAAGGAGAATTAAAAAAAATACAAAAATTGATAAAACTATCAAAAATGCTAAAAGTAAATCAAAATAACAAAGCATTATTTCTATAAAAACAATTGCTGACGTATCTAGCATAACTAACAATATTTAACTTATCAAAATAAAATTTGCATAATCATGAAAAAAAATTACTCAAATACCATTCGAGATTTTCCTCTTTTTAATTCCTTTTTTACTTATAATTTTGAGGCAGTTTTATTTTCTTCACATGTTAGTTTTTATTTTGATTTTTTGTCGTACGGTTCTTTTTATATGCTAACTGTTTCACTCATTTTTTTTTTTTCATTTTTATTTTTGTTTGTTTTGAAAATTGGTGGTTTAGTTCTTTTTAGTGGCAATATTACTTCAGTTTTGATTATTTCTTTTTTGGAATTTTTCTGGATATTAAATGAACTTATTAACTTTTGTTAGACATATTCTATTAATCAAAATTATTTTCACTCTAATTTCAACATTTTTCAATATTCCTCTCCTAATTGGCTCATGTTTGAGTTGCAATACTTATGTTTGGTTTTGGTTTGTATATGGGTGGCACTGAGTGCTAAGTGGTATTGGGATAGGTTAATGAATGGGTAAACAATATTGGATTTGTTCAGGATTTTTACTTTCTGAATTCGAGAATTTTATCAAATTATGTACACCTGATTATCTACCTTCATCGATTTTTTTATATTTGTTTTGTTTTTGCACTCATTTAATAATTTAGTGCAATAAAGCAAATTTTAATAAGTGAAGGAAAAAAGAGCAAAAACAAGAGGATGAATGTACTCGTTAGTTTAAATATATCTTCTCATTAAATATTTAGATATATGAGAATTTGATTTTCAGAGTTTACAATGATAGCGGATTCTGAAGTTTCGTTGTTTTCGGATTCCAGTCGATTATCTAGTAGTAATACTCATCCACAACATTCAGCACCAAGTTTTCTCTTTGGTTCTCATAGTAGACGTCGCAGTTTAATTATGTCTTTCGGTATGCTTAATTTTCCCTAAAAGGCAACATTTTTCAGTTTGTAGATAATTCCTATCCTACATTCAGAGTCTTCGTTAATTATATACTAAAATCTCTGTTTGTCCAGAATTTAGTTTTGAAAACAAGATTTTCTGAAGGTTCTGAGTGATTTGATGGGACATTTCAATAAGTTAACCTAATTGTAGATGACAGTTCAGAAAAGCGGACAACGGAACAAGATACATTAACCTCATCCTCAAAGAGCAGTAATTATTTCTAATTTGAATTTGTATTTTCCTTTTTTTTGCATCTTCGTGATTATATGTTTTATTGATTTTATTTGAAATGGTGAATGATATGTTTTCAATTTTCATGGATACCCGTTTTGTCGATTTAATCGAATCAGAGAATGATATATTTCCACTTTTGAAATGTTTTTTTAAGCATTATTTCATATTATTGGAGGGTTAACAAACTGTTACTTAAATAAATAATTTAGCAGTTAAGTTTGTGAATGTATGCTTCAGATTTATATTTTGATTTCCATCATGCAGTTGTGGGAGTATATGGAATCTACATCTGTTGCAATAAATGAAATATGCGGGCATTTGTGGGATAGGTTATTCTAACTCATTATTGTGAATACAGAAAAGCAACTTTCCCATGTCTTGCAAGCTCATTGAGATAAAGTTTCATCCCGGGTAGGCGAAATTGAAATTGCTGTAAATGGTGTTTCTAGGTTCTCAAACCAATAAAAGTGTTCACTGGTCACCAGCTTTGACACAAACGAAAAATACCAGTTTAGGTGGTCTATATGAAGATTTTCACATGGATACTGATTTGGATAAGTTATCTTCAGTAGGATCAGATGTTCCCGTCGGTACTTTTTTCTCCTCTTTTTCATAATTTTCAATTTGAGACATCGAAAAATCTTTGTTAGTTAACTAGTTTTGCTGAAAAATCGAGTTTTGTTGTTGATTAGAACTTCTTTAGGTGATACTTGCTAAATTATGTGTCTTTAATAGATTTCATTTTTGTGGCGTTTTTATTAATACATATTTTTCCTTGTTCCATCTTCAATTTTTAATTCTAGCTTGTTTATCTTTTTTCAGATCCCCCTCTTCGTTCTATGAGGGAGGAACTACTTCCTTCAAATCTCCTACCCAGAGATTTAACTTCTTCATCTACGAATTTGTCAAGCATGTTGGATCTTAAGACACAGTAATTCGTTGTTCTTTATGTGTCGAATTAAATCCGAGTAAAATGATAAGAATTTGACTCTTCTTATTCAGTAGTAATTTTTGCAAACGTTGAATATTTACATATCAGTTTAGACAAGAAATTGCTGCGCACTGGGTTACTGTGTTTGGTTTTCCTCGTGAAGATGCAACAAATGTCCTTAAATTATTTACACGACATGGAACAGTTGTGGCTCATCGTGTATTGTTTCTATTATTTTGTTTTATTTTTAACATTAACTTTGTATTTCAACCTTTAAGCATTAAAGTTTTATCACAAAATTCTCATTCAGTTTCCTAGAGAAGGCAATTGGATGTTTATACGTTATGCTTCACCAATTCATGCCCAGCAAGCTCTTTCTCGAAATGGACAAATTATGGATGGTCGATTGCGTTTAGGAGTAGTTCCAGTTGATAATCAGGTAAATTGGTTCATTTTTGCTTTAGATATTTCTATTGTATATCATATTTAGGCCTTTGGCGAGATCTTGTTCCTGCTTCTCAACTAGTCTGAATTATTTTCATTATCGTTGTACTGCACTGTTTGCAGGAGTTGATGAATTTAGAGGATGATGACTATTTGAACATATTTTCACAAACAAATAATGAAAATAGTAATCAGTTCAGCCGTAATGGGTCTATTTTGTCTGAAGTATCCTTTTTTTGTGAAAATGACCCATCAACAATTACACTCTCATGTCCTCTGGATACAAGTTTCAATCCTTCATTAATTGCGTCACCTGTTCGTGGAGGAATTCGTTCTTTACGTGCTTCTTTCAACGCGGTAGATAATTATTACCGGGTAAGTTGCCTTAAATCTTACTTCATCTAAATGTTTATTTTTTTAACTTTTTTTTTGCGTTACTTGTCAAACATCCCTTCATGTCTGTAGTAGAAGCTGTTACTCTGTTATCACTTTCTTAGCTGCTACGTGACTGTAATTAATTTCATCGTAAGATTGGACAGCTGATTGGTTACTGTTATCATTAAAGATAATAGCTATTTGTCCATATATTTTGGTATATTATTGATACCTTATTTTATTTGCGAATGGGTGAAAAAATATGCGGGAAATGCTGTTACAAGTTAAGATTTGAGCATAATTACTTTAAAAATATTTTGTAAGTGAATATAGCGAAATTTAAGCATGTTTTGCAGGTTGATGATGAAAAGGAACCAGAAAAATCTCACGGATTTTTGGATAAACTATGGAGCTTTGTTTCATAATGAGATAGCCAAGTGTTATTAAATAATGGTTCACATTGATTTATATCTCAGCAAACCAAAAAAGAAGAAAAAAATGATTTAAAGCATATCAGGCTTCTAGTATGATTTACAGCTCATCTTTTTCTTACACGATGGAGAATTTGTATAACTCTTTAATTCATATCCTTTTGTTTTACTTTGACAGGTTAATGAATTGATGCGATTATTGATTTGTTTTTTCTGATTTACATGATTTCATATTTTATTTTCTTTGCATGATTTTTGAAGAGTGATAAATTTTTTTTTTAAAAAATTTGCATTTCTTTTGTATGCACTACTTACAGAGATTTCTGATTAGTGCTCGATGAGGATCAAAAATGCTGTTTGAGCTTATGAGTTGTTTTGTTCGTAATTTAACTATTTATTATTTATTATGTTTTAAAATTCTGACATATTCAGAAGTGAGCCATGCTGATCATTAACGTAAACATCGAAACATGATCACAGGATAACAAAGTTGTGTTTTATACATCAAGTTCTCATTCATACAGCAACAGTGCACTATTCCTTTTTTTTTTTTTTTTTTTTTTTGTAAATAAAATGATTAAATCAAATAAATTTGCAGTCTAAATTATATCTTGATGTGACACTTCATTTCTTAAACAATGTTCACATTTATCAAATACGGGCTAAGAAAAAAAAAGAATGGAAAGTTGTGTCATAAAAGTTGCAAATTTTTTTCTTTTGAAATTTTTAAAAAAGAAAATCATTGGAATAATCAAAACGCACGATATGCGAAGTAAAACGGATGAATGCTTTCCCTATATTCCCATGTGATTTATATTTGGTATGCAAAATTTCAGAATAAATTTGGAAATGAAGTAATGGATGTAAATGGAATTGACAACTACAGACAGCTTGTTGAAAGGATGAAATATGATTTGAGTCAGATATATTCATTCCTTGTTCAGAATATGGACAAAATATAGAAGTGTTGACACGAACATCAGTTTATTAAATGGATTCATTCATGCAAAATTTTCCTTTCCTAATCCGTATTTTATCAATTTAGTATTTTCTTTTTAATTTGTTAAATGAAAAAAAAAATTGAAAAATAAAATTGTCATTATATGCACTGATAAAGTAAATGATAAGCAGATATGTACTACATTTATTTGCGGCTCTTTGCCTTTGATGTTATTCCACAGAGACACATAGAGAGAGAGAGAGAGAGAAAGAGAGAGAGAGAAAAGAGGTAATGCTTTCTTGAATTGTACTATGTATTTTCATTACTCATCAAGCTAATTATCCAATGTAATTTATTGCTTTAAGAATTGCTATTATCTTTAATTATTTAATTTACAAATTTAATACGTTAGATATCTAACATAAATTTTAAAACTGTATTTGCAATTTTTAAATGTTTTGTAGTTTTTAAATTTTACACTAACAATAATTTATGTTAAATAATCGTACATAATTTAAAATTTCCGTATTCATGAAAAATTGAAAAATTCCTTCGTTAGAAATATTATAATTTACATTACTTCTTTAAATTCAAATATTTGTTTGCTAAAGACAAAATATTATTATTAGCATCATTGTATCGTCACAGAATATTTCATTTCATATGCTTCATTAGCTTACCAATATTCTAAACTGAAAAGAAATGTGACAAAATTAAATCATCCACTGCTCATGAATATTAAACACCTTTCTCGATCATGTTTGCTATGCCTGTTTTTGCTAAATATTAATAAGCCTCCTCTTCGTTTGCATAATTATCTGGATATATCCTACTAGTTCATCTTATTTGATGATATAAGACTTTCTCCAATAAATACAAACTCAATCCTTTTCCATTACATATTAAGTAATTTTTATTGTTTCACGGATTGCTTATTTTACTTAATTTCTTTTCTTTCTTTTTAAAAAGAAAAAAAAAGAAAAAATTTCATGGACAAATTTTGTTATCTTATAATATTTCAACATTGATATCTTGCATGTTTTTTTTTGAAATTAACAAGATCATTATTACAAATTAAATTTTAATTATTATAAATTAAAACTACTTTTGTAATTTCATTTTTAAAGAAGAATTTTTTAATGTATGAAAAAGAAAAAAAAAACTGTCAAACTAATAAGATAGTATTCACAACTTACTCTCTGAATTACATACATTCTAATTTACTGTTTGAAATATTTCATTAAATAGAAAAAAAAAAATTATATAAGTGAAATGAAAGATGATTGAAAAAAAAATTAGTATTTTTGATAAAATTAACGAAGGATGCTTGGCAAAATTTGTTGAAATCATTGAATTTTCTCACAAAAATTACATATTTATATTAATATAATATTTTTGGAAAAACAAATTTTTTTTTTATTGTGTATAATATTTCAGGAACAATTATATTACTAATTTCACGGTTATGGCGAATAATGATGAGGTAATAACAAAAAAGTGTCGCATATGGAATCCCGCTTTGGATGATTGTTATAATGTCACCAGTAATGATAAAGATACATGCTCAGTCAATTTTCAAAATGATCATATTCCCCAGGTTGTTATAAAATACGCTTCTGATCACTTATCATTCTAGAATAATTTTTTTTGTCACTTTTTCTTAGAAATTTTATTACTTATCGTTTTAGAAGTAAAAATTTTATCACTTATCATTCCAGAATTAATTTCAGATTTTATAACCATTAATTGGTCAATTAGAAAAAAAAAGGATAAAATAATATTCACACATATCTTTCTTTACATATGATTCAATTTATAAATTGAATTAAATCATTTGTGTTTAATTTTGTTCCAAAAGATTTAATATTTCAGCATTTTTATGCAAATATTCAGGATTCCTTATTAATCATTACTTTTATTTGACGAATATAATTAACAAGTAAATAATGTAATATTAACAGTATAGATAAATAAATAAATAAATATATATGTACATTTATTTATACTTTTCGAATAAAATTAAATTGATTTAAAATTTTATTTGACATCGAAGTTTGAAATAGAATGAATCTAAATGAACGTTATTTACAAAGTCCTTATGTACGGAACTTAAAAAATAAAACAAAATTACAAAATAATAATTAAATATTTAATTGCAGAATTATGCAAGTTTGATGCAACCATACATTACAACACCTATGCATTCTAATTATATAAAAGGGATACAACAAAATCAAAATACAGCAATGAGTTTTCGATTCAATATTACGCTGTTACCTAGTAAACAAATCATATTTTCTCCCTTTACTTATTTCTATTATTTAAATATTTAATTACAAAAAAAAAAAAAAAACGATTTAAATTTATTTCTTCAGATTAAAAAAGAAGTTCAGGAAAAAAATTATTTTTCCATGTTATGACTAGAAAAAGAAGAAAAGAGGAAATAATTATTATAAAATTAAAAGTCTAATATATCTTTAGTCTTTTTACAACTTCTATTAATTTTAATTATAGAAATGATCAACACTATTTAATTTAAATCAATTAATATATGGTAAATTTTATTTTAATTTCACACAAAAATTTGTAGGAATACAATCTTAATAAATTTTAATATTAATAATAATTTTTATTCGGTTATCATTCTTATTAATACAAGTTTGTATTGATTATTCAATATCAAAAATAAAAATTTATTACGCTTTTATTCCTCTTTTATTTCTTTTATTATTTTTATTTCATTCAATAGTTAATTAACTTTTTCCAACTCATTTTTTTTTAAAAAAAAAGTTTTTCTGATTTATTATTCTCCTAGGAAAAGATTGAAGAGAATATAAGAACAATGTCAAAATTGAATATTTGTTTGCTAGAACAAATTTTAAATCTTGAATATTGCTAAGATTATTTTTTTTTTTTAAAAAAAAGAAATTATTAATAATTTAGATTACTTGATGAACACAATGCTGAACCAAAATTTTACATCACTTGATGTACCAAATCAAAATTGTTGTGCTATATGTGGTAACATATTTCGATTAACTGCTGACTTGGTTCAACATATGCGTATCAACCATCGAACTAAACATTATTCTCAACAACGAAAACGATTATCATCACAATAAATGATAATGCTGATCATATTATCTGATAACTTGACAATATTTTTTTCATTTTCATTACATCCAACTAATTTATTATTTATCAATGTTAAGAATAAAATTATTTTTCATCATTCTGAAATAGCTAGAATTCCCTCATCAAATCAATTCTTTCAAAAATATTTCATTCTGAAATATATGATGTATTATATTAATTTGAATTATATCAACATCCAATCATTTGTTGTTGATGAACAAATTAAAGATATAGTTGTAGAACTTACCAATACAAATTAATAAATACTTAAATACTTTTGTCTTGAGACAATATCATTGTTATTGGAGGGACCGCATTAAATACCGAGTTCCAGAGCATTGATTGATGGTGTTCAACTGATAGTGTTGTTGGGTATTTGGGTTGGGTGCGTTTTAGGGTTGAAGGAGTTGCATTGGTTTTTTTTTTTTTTTTTTAGAGAAATTCTTAGATTATCAAAAGAAATAAAAAATGAATATTAGATGAAAAAAAGTGGAGGAAGAAATGAAACTCTGAAATTTATTCCGTATAATTTCTCAGCTCATTCTGGAATCATATTTTTAACGTGGATGTGTGCTGTTTCATACGATAAACATACAATATTTGTTATGAATATACGTTAAACGTAGCTAGTCTTTTAATTACTCATAATGAGTGCAATTGTTGTATAGTACGTATTTGCGGATATCTTGCAGATCGTACATATCGTTATGTCAATTCCGGAAGGTGATTATGAAAGAGGCAAAAAGTTATTCAAAATGCGATGCCTTCAGTGTCATGTAATCGATTCAGATGCAAATAAAAATGGTCCAACTTTGAAAGGTGTGATTGGGCGTAAATCGGGAACTGTCGATGGTTACCCATATTCTTCTGCCAATAAAAATAAGGTTTCATTTTAACTATTGTATCTTTAGCTAGCATATGCAATTGCATCATAAATATTCATATTGGAGGTATTTGAGTGCTTTAAATAGCATTTTTATTCCTACGATTTATTGTCCTTTAATGTTTAGTCTCATTGTTATTGTTAACAGCTGTACTAAAAGATCTACATAGTTTAACTGAAACTAATTAGGCGACTGTCACATGTAAAATAAGGTTGGAGTGCTAGAGTCATCGCATCAACTTAAAATATTTATTGTAGGGTTAAAATATTTCATATAAATATATATATATATATATATATATATTAAAATATTTTTTATGGCTATGAGATAATTTTTAGTTATCTATCCTATCTCTAATGCATAAAATTTCAAGCATTGTGTTTGTCCATTGAGACCTAGGTTAAATCCTGCTTTGTATCATCTTATTCAGGTATTTTCCTTGATGAATACTACATAATTTGCTGCATTTATAAGATAATTTCATATTTGATCCGAAAAAATTCGAAAATTCCATTTTTCTCGAATAATTTAAACTCATAACAAGACTGTTTCTACTGTATCCGACATTGGTAATTTACCTCTTTCAATTCTGCTAAACAAAAGTTGAATGGAATCTATCCCGAAATAAAAAAGATAAGATCTTCGTAGTTTGTTATTCTTTCATCTGTTTGTCAAATATGCTGCTTGTGGATTATGATTAATGGAATAGATCTTTTAACAAACGCGTATATTTCAGGGCGTGGTTTGGACACGTGAAACGCTATTTGAATATTTATTAGATCCGAAAAAATATATTCCGGGAACGAAGATGGTATTTGCAGGCCTAAAGAAACCTCAAGAACGTGCTGATTTGATCAAATTTATAGAAGAAGAATCTGCGAAATAATTAGGCAGTTCCATTTTAATTATAGGGTTGCGATAGCTGCACTTTGTCTTTATTGTTTGTTCAGCTCGGATGAATCCCATTATAGCACTGGCCTTTTTTAAAAAAAAAAAAAATCTTGTCGAAAATATGGAATTATTTTACATTGAACTCTCATTTTCTCTTAGCGACATTCGCTGTCATTTGAATAAAATACACTGTGTATGCAGAGTTAATCGAGGTGCCTTTTATGTTAACTTTTTTTATTAGTGGTTTGAGCTTGAGATATCAAGTCTTGTTTCGCATTATTGAATGTTGTGGTACGCCGTGTACATTATATAGAAGTTCTCTCTTGTATTAACGATAGTGTAGCAGGAGTAAACAATGACGAAAATTGCGCAATAAAATTTTTTTTAATATCCATTTCAAAGACTTCCTGATACAACATAAACCAGTATTATCCTTTGCTTTTTTTATATCAGTCAAGAAAATCTTTAGAAACTTTTGACGATTGAGATTTTTTTCACTTTTGTGAACTGTTGATTTCGGTGCTTCGAAACACTGGACTATGATGTACGTATATGTGATTTATGCATTATGCATTGCTCGGGTTTGCTATATATTACGATGTCTTCTTGCGTTTTAAATTGGCCTTGAGGAAATGTGGAAGGGAGCAAATTTTTAATCCTTTTTTATGGTGGAAACGAAAAATTCTATTGAAAAACTTGAAGGCGTGAATTTCTGCATCTTATTACGTCATTTATTGTGTTTTGAAATTGTTGAAGTAGAACAAGAGACAAACAATGGTCTGGTTGATCGATTAGGAGTCAGAGGTGAAAAGGTCAGTAGCGGTAATGAAGCTTCAGTATATTGATAAGCAAAAATTGTTCCTAATATCTTCTACTCTATTTTAAAACAGAAAAAGTCTTTTTTGTTCTCTTTTTATCCTTATATTCTTCCCTACATGCTACAATGGCCACCAGTCCATTTTCTAAACAATACACGATAGTATTGCATAATATTGCATTGATAATATTCCTTCAGTTTTTGGTATAATTATCAAAAGTTACTCGAATTTGTTTTCGACTTGTATTTCAAGGCTACAAACTTTTGCACACTCCCAGTTCACGTGAGTATGGAATTTAAAAATGTTTCGAAATTCGGTTCTAATTTTGTATATTTGTTCTTTTTATTGACCACTTCGGTGTGATATCACTAAGTGTTGAATTGATATATTCTAGAAGATTTCACTATGTTAGCTGTTAATGACTTTTAGTCACGTGTGATTTTAGAAAGTTTCATTCAGATTTCGCATCTTATTTTTTTGTTGATATTCAAATTTGTCATAGTGTTGTATTAACATTTAATAGTTGCCATTGCATAGATCATTAATGCTTTGGTTACATATATGATTACAGTGACAAGAAGCGAGTTTATTGACTGTGATTATGCTGACTGAAGTTTGATTTAGGAGCAGGCATGAAAATACGAAACAGTCTGTGTTTTTTGAAAAGTTAATTCAGTTGATTGTTACGAGTATTAAATTAAAAAAAAATAATAATATAGCAAATGCACGATATATGTTTAATTGATAATTGATAGAACTTAATCAACAACTAATGTTGAAGTTATTCTGTCAAGTTTATTTATTAGGGTTATTATTATCACTGATGATATCAATTGTTAAATTGTAGTAATCAAGGATTTATTTTAATTGAAAATATTGATTTTAAATTTAATTTGAATGAAATTTTTTTTTAGAAATCCGCTTTGGTTGCAAACTTTAATTTGAAATTTATTTTTATTGGTTGTTATTATTACCACCGTTTTTTCCTGAAGGGTTTTCAAGAATTGGGAAAAGCAAAATCATGATGATACAATTACAAACAAAAGAAAGACATTTTTAAGCTCTTTTTTAAACTTACAAGTTTTTAATCTCAAACAATTTAAATACAAATTATAATAATATGTTAGTAGTGAAATATTAGGAAAAATAAATAAATAGATGATAAATAAAAATGTTTTAAATTAAACTTGAAATACACCACGGTTGGTACTCATTTATTTCACAAGTTTCACTGCCGCGCAGCAAGGTGATATGCAGGTAGTGCAGGTGTTGTTAGTTGTATGCATTCTTGCATTTGTCCTTTGTTGGACGGTTCGGTGTGACTAACGCAAGAATCGTGACAGTTAATTTGGGATAGGGAAATTTCAGTTTTTTCTTGGTTATCATGAAATGCCAATATATGTTGCATGTAAGTGTTTATATGTGTATGTGTATGGATCGATAGCTAATTAATATTAGTTATGACCAGGCAGTATGATTTTAGGGAGAGAAAAGATGCAAGGTATAACGAGAAGTGCTAGAAAGGTGATAAGGAAAGTTAGAGGTTACAAAATTCATCATCATTTCTACTTCATACTTGACCCTTAACATTCTACTAGAAAAAGTATTTTTGTCGTATAAGCGTAGACAAAATAGAAAGACTGAAAATCATAACATTAGAATTCGCAGTACACATATTGCACGTTCATGGCTACTTGCTGCATGACCTATATTATTGTAGCTAATGTAGTGATTAAAAACGTTTGTTGACAGTGAGAGGTTTTACAAGTAAAAGTTGTGAACTGATCGAATAATTTGAAATTATTCGAATGATCAAACAATAATAAAATAAGTACTGCAGAAAAGAAGAAAAGTTTGGTACTCGTTAGCTTTGGAATAACTTCTAAATTAGTTAATCTAGGCTATTCATTATTTTATTTAAATAGCTGTTCACATTATCCTAATATATGTTATTTCATATGATAGTAATTTATTTGAAACGTATTCGTTTACAGAGGCAGAGAGTGTAGTGGTGTGTAGATGTCATCAAGACGTGGAGAATATGGCTACCGAGATGGATCGGTACAGTTTCCACGACGTTCCTCTCGAGAGAGGCAAGCGATTTATATGAGCTTGGATGAAAATTTCCTTCTCAGTAATTCCACGGGGGATTCACTGTTACGCTCTCTGGTCGATCGAGCCAATAGATCGCGAAATCCAGTATGTTTTAGTTTACTTATTTGTATTAAATTTGCATTAGTTCAAGAGGCCTCATGGTGAGATAAAATTGATGAATGCCTTTGTTTCCTTTTCCAGAAGAATTTCATATTGCATGGCAACTTACTTGGGAAATATTGCAAGCGAGTTCCTCTCTTTGAAAAAATAATGTGAGAAAAAAATGAGAAAAAAGCCGCTTATATTTCTTTTTCCTTTTTTTTTTTTGCTAAAAGAAAAGAAAGGATGTGAGATTCCAAGTCGTATTTGCTATTTACCTTTATTCTGGTAGCTGTTTCAAGATACGTGAGAAAAAAAAAAAAGGAAAAAAAGCAGATCGTTTGATTGATTCATGTCAGCATTCATGTCAGCGAGTGAAGAACTAGTTATTTTAAAAATTAGTTGGACAAGTCATTTACTGCTTTCAGATAAATAGTTCATATATGCTACCTCATACCTTCCGCTATTCGACTAGATCAAAAGACAGGATCTATGTTGATACATACGGTGTTCCGACGAATGGACAGAGTGATGTTGATGATGATTTCGAAGATTGTATGATGCATTCAAAAATCCGGAAGAAATCGAGGTTTTGTAGCCTCCTCTGCATGGGTTTTCTTAGTAGTGGATTCAATATGATAATGAGTTATTAAATACAGGAGGTGTGGGAAATGAGCTGTTTTCGAAGAGAGATGTCTTGATAATTTCTTTGTTGCTGAATTACCATGCAAGGATATTAAATATTGGAGATATTCGTCGCACTACATAGCTATTCCAGTTTTATTGTCTTCAGCAATATTTCTGTTGCTTGCATTGCATGCATACGCGATGTATGCTTTGAGCGTTCCATATTACTGAATTACTTGACATTACAAAACTAAATAAAATTTATGGTTTAAATCACTTTGCTTCATTTTCCTGCTAAAATTATAATTTTTATTGTCTTTTATTTGTTAAGTTTCGGATCTTCCTTGGCTATCGAAGCACTCAAGTGATTCAAATTTTCACTGTTTAGATGGAAATTATGTGTGTGGGCTTAGTTACTGATATGTTCGGTTTAGGAAGAGAACTGTGAGTCAAGGAAATTTGTCTTGTAACAGTTCTGCTATTAGTAACATAGAATTTGATTTTTCAAGGCAACATTGAGTAACATACTTACTGCCTGCATTTGAAGATGAAGTAGAACAGTATTTTAGAATTAGAAAATCCTTTAAAAGTAATGGATGCTTTCAATAAACTTATATCGTAGGTCGAAACTGTCCTCTCCAGTTGATGACGAAGTTTAGATTCAGCTGTAGAAGATGAATGCTTTCAATAAACTTATATTGCAGGTCGAAACCGTCATCTCCAGTTGATGACGAAGTTAACTACCCGGCTTCAGATTCAGCTGCAGAAGATTCACGCCCTATACTGGCAAATTCATTAGCTGCATCTGATACTAAACAGGAAATTGTAGAGCCAAATATGTATGAAGGCGTGAAACAGCGACGTCAGGCAAAGAAGCAGGCTACACTTGTTGCTCAAAAAAAAGCCAAAAATGCTGTGGCATGCAAGTATGTTGAAATATATTTGTTGTTTTTATGATTTCTTGAATTCGCTTTTACAGCTTCATATTAGGAGTGGTAGAGAGGCTCTTGATGATACAAGTAAAGCACTTATTTATCCAATACGATTGCATTATATGAAACTATCTGATAGTAAAGGATTACAATTATTACAATATTTATAAGTGAAATCACAGTAAAATTCATCGCTGTTTACAGGATTCTTTGATTTCTTTGAGTTATTTCTTAATAGTATCGAGTGAAACATAACAGTGGATTTCATTAAGTTTTTTCGTTCACTATTATATTAGTTCATTAGTTTCTATTGCAGTTCACTTCGTAGGCGACAGCCTAAAAAAGAAGATTCAGAAGATGGTGACGAAGATCGAACGAATGATGCTCCGGAAGTCAGTTCATATTTCTTTTCCTTTTTTGGTTTTCTGTGTGTTATGGGATTCTGAACGCTCACATCTGCAAATACCGGAACATCATTGGAAATGGATATTCCAAAGCAGATATCTTTTTTCTCACATAGCACTTGGATCATATGAAATTGTTTTAGAAAATTCTAAAATTATCAAAAATAATAGTGTAGTTGTAGCTTTATTTACATAGCTACGGATGCAAACGCTTTAGGTTTTCAAAGTATCTTTGTTTTCTGACAGTTCAGGAGTTTTTTAAAATAGTTTTATGCGATTTCAGTGCTGCGTGAGAAAACGTGAAAACACTTAGAAGATGTTCAAAATAAAAATAATGGTCATAATGTGGATATAATCTTATGCCAACTTCGTGAAATTTTTTAATTATATAATAGGACGATGATGAGTCGGATGAAAATGAGCCTCGACATTATGCATTAAGGACGCATATCAATCCAGTAGCACGATTTTGTGTTGAACCGCGTGCTCAAACTACTCGTACATATACCGTTCGACGTGAACTTTTGAATAATGACTTAGGAGGATCACGATCACGACGGTATACTCATCGGTGTAGCATTTTTAATGTTTCTTTGAGGAATCTCAATGATTTATTTTATTTCTTATCTATATTGTTCTAGTATTTTTTTAATTTTAAACATTACATGAATTTTACGTGCTTTACAGAAAACCACTCTTTGGTAGGAGTAATTCATCATCTACTTCATCTGAAAGTTCCACAGAGGCTAACGAGGATACTCGATTTCAATGTCATCGTTTGCGAAGAATGAAGAAGTCTAGAGCTCAACTGCGTCCGGTCAATAGTAAGTTTTAGCTAAAAAATTTTCTCTTTTTGCTCCGAACAGATACCTTTTTATCACTCAGGAACTCTTTAAGCCATTTTTTCACTAATCAAAATGTCTTTGTAACTTTCTACAATAGCAGTTTGTAAATATAAACTATTTTTTTTTTTTTTTTGAGAATTTATAACGAAAGCTTTATACTCCTGATAATGGTGACTCTTCTCTTTCAGGTGATGATCTGTCATATACAATTGGCGTGCGTGAATTAATCCGTCGTAAAGCTGGAGCGGCTAATATTTCCGGTTCAGATATTGATCCCATGCACATTGATCGCAGCATTGATTTTAGCAAAATTGGTGGTTTGGATTGTCACATACAATCTTTGAAAGAAGTGGTTCTTTTCCCGTTACTGTATGGTGAAATTTTTTCTCAATTCAGTATTCAACCGCCGAAAGGAGTTCTTTTTTATGGACCACCAGGTTTGTCTTTTTTATGCTGTTAAGCTGATAACCTCCAGATGATAACACTTATATTTTTATATTTGATTATACATTATGCAGTTTTGCAAGTCGACAGGATCATAGGTTTAGGGATACTCATTAAATTAACAACGGGGACTTCTTTGATACGAAAATGCCTCACTTTTCAGGCACGTGTTTAATGCTTTTAAGTTATATTTCTTAATGATGTCACTAAGAAAATATTGATTTCAAGTTGGCTGCTTAAAAAGTGAGTTACGATTACAACGACACTTCTAGGCACGGGAAAGACACTTGTAGCACGTGCGTTAGCCAATTCATGCAGTGATGGTGATAAAAAAGTAGCATTTTTCATGCGCAAAGGAGCCGATATTTTGAGTAAATGGATAGGCGAGTCTGAACGACAGTTAAGGTTAATGTTTCATTTATGTCAAATAAATATATTGCATTTCGTCCACTTGTTTTTTCTGACTTTATATCGAGTACGCTTTTCAGTTTTTTCACTGATCCCATCATCTGCACTATAAAATTAGCTTCTGGTGATTCGTGTTTGAAAATTAAAATGAAATTTCCTATTTAGTATTAACTAGGACTTTGTACTTTCAGAGCCCTTTTCGAACAAGCTTTCGTAATGCGTCCTTCCATAATATTTTTTGATGAAATCGATGGTTTGGCCCCAGTTCGAAGTTCAAAACAGGATCAAATCCATAGCTCCATTGTTTCAACTTTGTTGGCACTTATGGATGGGTTGGACAGTCGCTGCGAGGTATTTACTTTTTTTTTTTTTTTTCTATTGCCTTTTACATTTATTCAAGCATTTGTCATATTTTCATCACGCAGTAGGAAATTTCTTTGAGGTTGTTGTAATCGGAGCAACTAATAGGATAGATGCCATCGATCCTGCATTGAGGCGTCCTGGTCGATTTGATCGAGAGTTAAGCTTCCGGTTTGTTTTGTTTCGTCATAGATTCCTTCAGAAAATTGAAGGATTGTTCGGTTCCTTTATCTAATATTTTTCGAAGTTAGTTTCCATAAAGTCAAGTCTTCTTTAGTTTACCTCATAAAAATGCGAGATTGGAAATTTTAAAAATTCATACGTCATCATGGGGTATTAATCGACCATCAGACAACATTTTTAAATGGCTCTCTGAGCGCACATCGGGATATTGTGGCGCCGATTTAAAGGTTCGATAAAGTTTTTTTTTTTACGCTTCTTTTATTCTTTGATGTGTATAAGCAACGATTGATTACTGATTATCGTGTCTAATAACCAAGCTTGTGCGTATTACATTATATAATTCAGTCGCTTTGTACGGAAGCAGTTCTTACTGCTCTTCGATCTCAATTTCCTCAAATCTATTCATCTAAAGAAAAAGTCTGCATCGATCCTAAAGCACTGAAAGTGGAAAAGAAAGATTTCGATATTGCTATGCGACGCATTGTACCAGCTGGTCGAAGAGGTACGAATTTCTGTCTTTAAATTTTTCAGATTTTGTGAGTGTTAGGAATTAAATCTACAGCGGAGCATAATGCAGAACTTTTTCATTCAGAGATTTTCAGATTTCACTATACCTTCGCGAATTTTGGATGACAGACTCAAAATATTGTTAGAACATGTGATCGCTGTAATATGTCATCGCATTCCTAAAGGTTATCACGATGTAATTGATAACGACCGAGAGTTGGATGGTATCGAGCGAATCCTAAAAACAGTTTATTCAACTCCTGCTGTACCGTCTGGCAAGTTGATGACAATTTTATCGATAAAAATAATATTCGTATTTGTGAGGAAAGAATTCTGTTTCAGTTTTCTTTTTTAATAGTCAGCTTTTTATTAAGCGAGAGAATATATTGACTTATATGTTGGGATATTATGCGCTATAGGCTTGATCAAAAATCCAGAATAATGGCAGTTGAAATTAATAAGCATAATTCTTCCCATAGTTTGGAATGAGTAATTAGGTTTACTTATGTTTATACCATTATACATTGTTTTGAGACTTTGAGAAATATTTTCTCCATGATTCGATATTATCTGCCCTGTTGAAATGAGTTTGTTATTTCCTGAAAAAATTGTTTTAGCTCGTTTATTGCTTTGTGGTTCCTCCAGTAATATAGGTCAAACGTCGTACATCTTACCTGTTATCATAAATCACCTGGATCATCTCCCGGTGTTTTCACTTTCAATGGCCAACCTCTTCTCTTACGGTTATTTTTGCAGTTATTTTCTATTTTTGTTTAACTTGTTGAGTTATCTGACGCTTTATTTTTTGTAGGCTTACCAGAAGAACGTTTTTCTCATTGTGTGCAATCAGCTATTCGAGCTTCATCAAGCGGAACACCTTGTTTACTGTTAATTCCTTCCATTGACAGGTGGTATTCGTCAGTACCTTCATCAGTTTGGAATCTGGTATTTTTTTTTTTTGCCAAAATCATGAAGTAGTTGTTCTTGCCATAATAATACACATCATCCCAATGATTCTCATACCCTACGCTGTTTGCTTTTCCAGCTTTTATCTGCTGTCAGTTCATTTACGGGTTTCACCTCCATCTTTCTTCTTTCGACAGCAGAATGTAGCTATTCAGAACTACCTGCCGAGGTAGGTTAATATAATATTGCTCTTGGAATTCTTCAAAAAGATGTGAGGTTCAAAACTGGGGTAAGATGCTGGTCTTACATATTATATCAGTTCATGCAGTGCAGGAAGTCTATTCAAAATATCGAACGTCAATTTCAGTGGCTAATTGAATTTTGGCGAGATTTAACTTCTTAATATTCATTTCTAAAAATCATATTTAGTTACATAATGACAAAGCTTTCTGTTCTCGTACCATATAAAAATGATAATGAGCTACTACAGATTCAATTGGTGTTTCGTTCTCAAGATTCAATAGAAATAACTCCACCTCCAGCTGACCGACTCGAAGCTTATTTTCGGCACGTTATTGTCGAACCAGCTTGTACTCCACCCATAACATTTAACGGCAAATTATTGTCTTTTGAAATCTTTGATAATGCAATTTTTTGGACATGTTTAATTCTTTATTTTTGTTTTTTTTTTCTTTTTGTTGGATTACAACTCAGGTCTACAAGACTTCCCATTATTAAATTCATTATAAAGCTAAATAATTATATTTCAAACATCTGCCAGATCTCGGAACATTACACTTTTTTCTAAGAGAGACTGGAATGATTCTATTATTCTGTGTTTACAAATCCCTTAATTATAGAGCTCTATTTTGAAATAATAAGTATCGTGTTAGCTGTATTTTTTAGCTGACGAATATCCTCCACTTGCAAAAGCTGACATGGTACAACCTTCGAACCAACTCAGCAGTGATGAGATTAAAGAACTGAAGAAGCTTTATGATCAGTATCATTTAGAAGTTATCCTTCATTACGAAGAAACTATTGGTTAGTTGCAGCTTTTTAATGAAACCAAATTATTTGATTTTTTTTTGCCACATATATTACATTATTTCATTTTCCAGCTCGTTTAATCCGTGACCGTCGATTCAGTGCATTTGTACAACCAGTAGATCCTGTAGATGTACCCGATTATTATACGCATATTAAAAGTCCTATGGATCTAGGCACTATGTTTTCAAAAGCATCTAGTTATAAGACACCTGACGAATTCCTTAATGATTTCCGACTGATTCATCAAAATGCAGTGGAATATAATCCAATGACTGATTATGAAGGTTATATTTAAAAGAAAAGTGTTAGCGAAACATTTGTTGGTTACGGAGATATTAGGGTTGTGGTTCTCCTCACTATAAGTTGTAGGAAGTTTCCTATTTCCTGTCTAAAATTTTGTAAAATGATGTGAAAGTGTTTAAAATTTACATTTACAACATTTTAGGACGTCAGATTCGTCTTATGGCAAAATTGTTATTGGATATGGGCCAGCGAGCAGTTCTGGAATTGGATTCGAAGTTCTTGAAGCGTCTGGAGGTAGAAAAAGTGCAATATTCTGAGAACCAAGATCTCAACATTCTTGAATTCAAATAAATTTGCGTGGTGTTAAAATAAGAAAACGGAAAACAGATTTAACATCTTGTGGATCTATGTTTTTGGCATGGCATAAAGATAATGGGAAACTTTATTTTCACGCTTAACTTTTTAGGATGTGAAAAGGATGTTAAAAGAAAATGGCATTATGGTGGGTGATGACGATCGTGGAAAACAATTGAGTGGATATGTAGCGAATAACTGTGAAGTTCATATGAAGGGCGGTCAAGTAGAAACAAATATACCAAAAGTTTTTTTTTCGAAATATCTGTACTACGTTAAAGAAATCGAAATCTTAAAGATTTTAAAATCTTAAAAACATGTAAACAGATTTTATATTATAAGAGCAGTTGCACATACTGAAGCGTAACTTAATTTTATTCTTTTTTGCAGGATTTAAAGAAAACAGGCATCAAGCGACGTGGGTTGCACACTTATAAATTGTCTCGAAAACGGCGTTGTATCAAGAAATCACTTAGAAAGTGCCGTACAAGCCATCCCAATTTGAGGTTGGTATTTGTTTAGAAATCTTTCTATAGGGCATCAAATTAACTGACTCCTTTGTATCTTCTGTTTTGTTTTTATAAAATTCTTGATTAAATAATCGATTGATTTGGTCAAAAATTGTGTTTCAAAATTTTCAGTTAATATTCGGGGTTCTTTTTTTGGATTTTTTTCATAATCTCTATATTCTTCAGCAGTCAAATCGAAGGTATTGATATTGAAAATAGTGTGCTAAGTGAAGGTGACCAGCTTGTAACGGATGATGACAAGGATTTTGAGAATGGACAGTATATAAATGCTGTTAGTTTTATTATACCAAATTTCTTAAAGTGTGGCATTACTTCATTCGTGCTAACTCACTTTATCCTTCGTAATCATTTCATATTACTGATCTTCCTGACGCTGTGGACTTATCGCCAATGTAAATCCTCATTAATGAAAATCTATTTTGGGTGTAACCGTGTAATGATGTAATCATAAAATTTGAATTTCTGCAGACTGACGCAAAGCTAAAGAATACTTTGAGAATACTAGGTTGGATCGAAAGAGTACCATTAATAATAAAATTACAGAAAAACTAATTCATATCTTTCTTATAATGTTGTTATACTTTAAAATAGGGTTTCAGAAGTATTTCATTCTAGATCAGTTCAAATTCAAATCGTGAAATGGGTACTATTAAAGAAAGTAAACGAAATCTTAAAATCGATCTCAATAAACTCGATGTTGTAGTCCATATGGTAAGTTTTCAACGGATGGAAGTAATTAGGTATATATTTTGTGGGAAAAAAGTATCATTCTTCAGATGGGCATAATTAATGCATATTTGTATATGATTTATTTCTGGTACTACAGTCTCTCGGTTCATTTCTTTGCAAGTCTGATAAGAAATCAATTAGGCCGTGAACAAAAGTCGCGGTTGGCCATTGGTGGATTTGGAACTTTTTGCTGCGAAGATTTCGGAGATTGTTGAGACATTCCGTGATAAATGGGATCGTACGCAGTTGCCATATGAAATCGATGGAATGATCCGTAATTGGAGCTCTTCGGAATGAGTTGTATTTAGATGGTTGTATTTAGATAGCTTATTTAGCTAAAATTTTTGTCGGAATAGCAAACCTCAAATCTTTCGTTTTCATTCTTGCAAGTACGTATTTGCCTTCAAGTGAATATTGCTATTTGTGCACATGTTTCTTTTCTTTCACATTAGAGTCTTTCATATCCTATATTGGAAAGATTTCAGTTTTAATTGAAGAATAACTAAAATGAAATTCGTACCAGATCTGCAATGTTTTATTTTTGGGAGCAACTTCAGATTACTGCAGGAAAAGTTCTGGCGAAACGAAACGTTAAAAATAGTTCTTGCGATGTTTTTCAAGAAATTTGAAAGATTTATTTCCCTGAAATAGGTGCACTCATCCTTACAGCTCTTCTTTTTGTCTGATTTCTGTTTTCTTTTACTTATGTTCTTTGTGGTGAACGTTGACTCGGTTATTTTATTTATCTTTTAACTTTGGTTCAGACAGAGGACGGTGCTTTTTTTTCGATTCCTAACACACTGCACCGCTAGAATCAGACCAGATGAATTCTAGACCGGTGTCTCATTGAAGCTTTACAGCTTCAGTTTTATTGTAATAATATTTTATTTCTGTTAAGTAAAACTCCTATAAAATTGTTAGAATATTCAATAATGAAGGGGCGTAAATTTAAGCTGAGCTTCTTAAAAAAAAAAAAAAAAAAAAAAAAACATAGTTCTAAAACGTGGGATTTGAATACCAGCTTGGAATCAGACCAAATGAATTATCCATCGAAAGTTCCTTTGAACTGTATAAGACCGGTTTAGAACACTTGTTTTAGAGTGATTATTATGTATTAGTAAGTCTATCCGATCAGAATATTGGCTCAGACTTTCACCATTGTTTTTTATCAGCTATAATAGAACCATTTCATCATCCTATTTGTATATTTTGTCCCATATTGTTTTCCAAAGTTCTTTCAGTACAGCATTTCTGCTGTTCGCTATGATAAGTTATGAAATTTTCTGAGTCGAGTTCATTATCACTCTTCTTCTGCGCTGCCAACAATGTATGCCGGCAGAGTACCATCATTTTAACATCGGATATCTTAATGATTACGAATGAAACATGTGCTTGACTTTCTTCTATCCATCTGTTATCTATGAATTGTAGATATGCCCTGTCCAGCTTTATTTCCGGACTTCAGAAGTCCATGAGAAAACCTCGCACTGGTTTTAAATTCTGATTCATTTCAGAGTGGTATTCAATTTTTCGAATATCCATTACGATTGGCATTACTTTCCTGCTACTACTGCCTAAATCGTTCCTACCTCTTCATTTGATCGTGATCAGACTTCTTTCATACCCATACATTGTTGCATGCTCAGTACCGTATACAAATTGTGCTATCGTTGTCATAAGAGCTAGCTTCCAGAAAACAGTCGTTCATTTTTGTTTCTCTTTCTCATGTTGTAATGAACAACATGTTGTATACAGCTGCGTGTGATTCATGTTAGTTTTCTTTTTTGTTTTTGTTTATAAACACATGATAAAATATTACAAAGAGAGGCTAGAAACGTTAGAATTATCGTACAAGATCGAATCGGAAGAATCATACGAACTCGTATGAGCAATGAATAATTAGATCGATCATGTGCACCAAAATTGCTTCAATAAAAAAAAAGTGGACGTCACACGTTCATAAAAATCATGATTCTAACGAGCCGCTTAATATTCCCTTCAAGACAGATGCTTTTTGTCTAGACTGAGTCTTAATCTTTTTTGTTGAAATGACCATTTCTCTACATATGGGTATACTTTAATTTGAAGTGGGATCCAGTTTGACTATTGTAACGCAGTATGATCATCTTGTGGTAGTTGGCTTCTTATTACAAGGTGTAGGTTATTGAATGGTATATTGTGGGATGAAGCTAAAAAAACAACACCATGAAACAGTTCAGTACCACAAATTAAATGGAAGGAATAGCAACATATTTAAATAACGGAACAGGTTATTATAGTTAGCATTTTTTTCAATTCATTATAGCTAGTACTTCGGAAATTATTGGAAAAAGATGTCAAATTGTTTGACAGACAATAATGCACTGGATTATATGGAGCACTGAATGACCAATAAATTTAACAGAACGAAAATCATCAGCTAAAAACATCACTATCAGAATCATCACCACCAAAAATGTCCACTCTTTTTGGTCTCGTACTTAGTTTTCTTGGAACAACTGTTTCCTTTTTTTCCAGGACTGACCCGTCTTTTTTTGTAATAACTTCTTGAATTATTTTCTCCAAAAAAGCTTCTTTATCTTTAGCAGGCTTCTGTTCATGTTTCTTTACCGAAATTGTGCTACCAAAAATATCTTCATCATCTGAGTCAAACAAATTCTTAAAATCACTTTTAAGAGCTTGGACTCGACTCGCTGACATGTTAGAAGAACGCCTCCTAGAGAATAACAGGGACTGTACATCACTGTTTCTGACGTTTGATTTCGAAACAAATGCATTAGTTTTTGACTTTCCCGAGAAAGTGGAAAAAATATCATCGTCTGAATCGGAAGAAAATATAGAATTAATGTCGCTTTTTTGTTTCACACTGTTTATATTCTCAGTAATATACTTTCCGGAATCAATTTTCAGTTGATCATCTTGTCGTTCCTCACATACCTCAGCTTTTTCCCCAATATTTCGACTATCTTCTGTACTTGCATCTTTTGCACGAACAGATCTCATCACTTCTTCATTGTGATCTTTGTTAGAATGTTGCAACAAACGTGATGGAACACGTCGTTGTGGCCCTTTGGCTCGCTGCTGAAAGCAACCATAAATTTACCTACAGTTACTAATAAGAAAAATTAACTACGAAGTGATTTACAGGCCTACCATACCTTTGCAATGGAAGGCAAAACAGCGCTGGTCCTATCATTCTTCATACTTTCTTCTGTAACTTCTTTTTCTTCCACACCGTTGATTGCATTTGGCATAAGTTTATTTGTAAATATTCTATTTAATTTATTCCGGAATACATTCGAAGGCTTCGCATTATTTACAAAGACACAGTCAGTAGAATTTTCCTGAAAATATTCGAAAAAAATAGTCATTCATTATTCAACCCACATTTCTTTTGACGACGGTTTTTCCCGTTAACGGTCTACTACATTTCCGCTATTTGGAACGCATACGTATTGAAGTGAAAGGTCTCCCCTAATACCTGTACTAAGATTAATGTAAATCAAGAAAACAAACTGCTCCAATACTCTACTTTTTTAAAAAATATACCACAGTTATATTGAATCACAAACGCTCACTGGTTCCGATGCATCAGCAAACACAACTAGACTACGCACATTCACATCTGTTTGCAAGTTGTTTAGCTCAGAGATTGAAATGATTTGAGAATCATTTGAATAAGTAGAAATATGTTGTTTTGCTCCCGTTTTCTATAAAATCCAAAAAGAAAAGAAAAGAAAAAAAACATCAAATCTCAACAATTGCCATTACAAAGATAACGAACCGCATTTTTCAGATCACTGAAAAGATCATCCTCGTCTGAACTACTGTCGACAAACAATTTAAGCACAGTATTTGATACACCCTACAACGATTTTGCGGAAGTTGCTAACGTCCGTTTTCAGTTTTTAGTAGATCAGTCAAAAAAGACACATAAAATGAGACATGAAGCAAAATTCTCTTACAACCACATAGAGGGACACAATATTCGATGCAAAAATATACTTCATTAGTTTTTCTTTTTGTTTGATCCTTCATTGTAGGAAGTCTAGTAGATACTTCCAGATCCGGAGGTTTATGAGATAATACTTTGGAATCCTGATGTCCCACTGATGCACGAGGACTTCGGAGTGTTACGGATCCTTCAGAGTCTGAAATATATGATTAGATCTTAGCCTCTCAACACATAAATAAAAGAGAAATATCGAATATAATTAAAGGGGAAGAAAAATGTATTAAAAAAAAAAATGTATTAAACAGACACTGCCTCGATGTCACATTCCTTGACAAATCAAATACCGTATTTTCGACTCCTGTTTCTTTCATTAAAGAAGCTTGTGAACTGGAAGCAGTAACCACATGCTGAAAAGATTTTTTTAAAAAAGGAACTCTTCTTTATTTATTAAAAAATCAAAAACATTTTTTTTCTTCTTAATAAATAAAGAAGAGTCTTTCAGTCTGAATGACGCATCTGCTTGACTTCAAGGCATACATGTAACTTCAGTTATCCACAGTATGAACAAGAATGACACAAGTAATTAAAAAAACCTGATAAGTTTCGTTCCTATATTCATTTGAATAGTTATCAGCCTTTGTCTCAACATCTCCGGCATTTGACGTTGATCGGTTTGACATCGTACATGTTAGATTCCCATCTCTGCATAAATCGTTTGCAGAAAGCATATAACTCACATGAATGGAAATAGAAGTTCGTTTAATTAAAACAATGTTATTATAATATGTATATTAAATAAAAAATAACATATACATTAAATCAGAATAGGTACAACCATCTCTATTTTGATACAGTAACGATACTTCAGAAGAATTATTAAAATTGGTAAACTTTAGTACAACAAAAAAATATGATATGGTCAAATTACTTACATTGCATTCGAGTAAGCTAGCCATTTGCACTCTGTCATTTTTGGTTGTGTAAAAGATGGTAAGCTGATAATAATTTCCTCAGTTACCTTAAATTTACGACATTTCACATGTTGACGATCTTGGAAATAATAAAAATGCATATTCAAACAAAATGCCACGCCAGTACACTAATACATCAGACCAGACATAATATGAAAACCTAGAAGTTACTGCAACTTAGTCTGATTCAAGAAACTATGAAACTGGAACCTTCGTTGTTTTGGCACATTCTTCCAAAGAACCGGCATATGATGAAGAATTCCATTCTGGACAGCCAATAAGAAATGGTAATGGTCGTGTAAGATTTTCATCCTAAAAGAAAAAGTATTTTGTATATAAGTCTCAAAGCATCTTTTGCTGACTGTAGCACATTTCCATTAAACAAAAATACTAGAAAAAAAAAAACCGAGAAAAAGGAACAAGTTTTCAGCTAGAAAAAATTTCCAAGCTCAACATAATCACCGAGAAATGAAAGGGAGAGTAGAAACGTCGACAAAATGTATAACATCGTTCTACTGTAATACACTAGAAAAGAATGTACATATGGTTCGAAGATAGGTTCAGACATGCAAAGTGGATGGTCGTCTTCATCTTGATCCTCAGGATGTATATCAATTCGCTTAAAATTTGTCTGCATTAACTCTAATCCCATTGAGACCACCTGACGTAAGTTAACAGTTGTATCCGTTTGCTTATTTGCAACTACCTAAATTTGTAAAAAGATATTGTTAGCAAAAACTAAGTATAACGTTTCCAAATAAGAAAATATTCTTTGAGAAAAAAAAAAGATATGACAACCGTTTGGAAAGTTAGAGCTGGATCATCGCATGTCGATGCTTCATCTCCCACCCGCTGAAACAGTAAATGACTGATATGACCTGGAACTTATTCATTTAATGGTGGATGAATTACATGGTATCCTTAGCACTCCGCTCAAACCACACTTAAATGAAGACTCAAAATTTAATATGGGATGAAGAATAAATCTTCCATTTCTTTCTGCTATATGAATAATAAGAATGAAAGAAAAAAAAAATCTTGCGATAAATAGATGTACTATGAGCAAGTAAACTAACATTTTCAATAAACTGATCTGCTGAAAATAACGACAAACGATTGTTGAGATTCGAAGCTTGTACACATGCATTTGCGATCTTCAAAGAATTTTCCTGGACTGCATCGGAAACATTGTTGATCTTTGAGGTTATGGAAGACCTGATTTCTTCCAATACTCCGCAGAGCTAAAAAAAAAAAAAACAGAAACATATGCCCTTTATAAATGAAATAACGGTTTATATCCACAAACTGTATACATGAATTTTATTCCCACAGTAAATATTGCTTATCCAGTAAGGTCAATAAAAGCCTGAAGTTGAGGTAAATGCCAAAGCTTTGTTTGCTAGTTTACAATCCATGTCTGTAAAAAGACAAGTAGCAAACCAAACAAGATTTCCTGTTCTTTTTTTTCACAAATTGTTTCGCCCGATTCACCTTAAAAATTAATCTTTTAAGACTTCCTCAAAAAAAATTGCGCCTTACTTGTCGATCGTCCGCTAGAGACCAATCACTTTTCTTGTCTCGAAGTACTTGCAAATTATTAGGCAACATTTCAATTCACGCACAATGATTTCTTCTTTGAAATGCCTTCCAAAATCAGTAGTGTAAAAATTGGTTTATAGTACTACGATAACATCAAGTCCTGAAAGTTTTAGATAAATCTTAATTTTTACGCAATATCTTAATAAATCATCGAAATTCGATAAGTTAAAGCTTGTCGAATTTCGATTTTACAGCTTTAATTTTACAGTTATTTTTCCATCCTCACATACTGAAGAATCAGTGTAAGACTCTGACAATTCAAAAATTCTGACAGAACTGGATAAAAACAATTATCACACCTTTCAAAGGTAATTCACTCTGTTTATATGAATTTAAATTTTCAATTTCTGAGTTTGTTTCGGCATAATCTTTCAAATATTACTGACAAAGGATTTAAAAAGAAAAAAGAAAACATTTCTAAGACATTGATTCAAAAAATTATGCAGGACCTAAAACTGAATTCTTCCAGTGACAATCACCCTTCCCCCTTCACTTGTAACTATCAAATACAATTAACCACTGGGAAGCGTAAAAATCTGTAAATACTTTGCTCGCAACCGAAAAAGACGGGTTAATAGGCAATTTGCCAAAAATCAACAACGGCTGGTTTTGTGGGAAGCAATAATCGCTGGGAGCGCTGCAGTTTCGTTTTTCAAACTTTTCACTGTATAGGTTCGCTCAAAGTTGTAACATAAGTGCCTATATTATAGTCATCTAGCTTAGTTTTCTCCGGAAAACTCAAATATTTCAACAAATATGAATTCATCTAATTTTTCTACAATGTTTCTTGCTCTCAACTATACTGTTATACTTTGTGAAAGCAGGTGTCGGAAATATTAGGAAAAAAACTAAAAAAGTAGCCTTGCAACGACAAGCCATTCCTCAGTTATCATAACTGCTGGACAGATTGTGTAATTTGGGTAATTTTCTCAACTTATCATCTACATCAATTGTTTATTTAATTGAAATATTTCTTGTTCACCTACTCCACAAATAATGTGATTAAACGATGACTACTTAGATAACCTCTGAATTATAATTATGCTGTACCTCACAATTTACTTTTCTTCCATTGTTCCAAATCCCATTACCATCTGCATTTCACACTATAGAAAATTTTGCTAGAGATCATTGCTACCTGAGACTTCTCTAAAAACTATAACAATTATTGAAGTATTCTGGAGAGCTTCTTGAAGGTTTATGATATATCATTAAATTGTGCGAAATATCCGGAGAGCAGTCATCAAAAGGACAACTGCATCCTAAGTATGCTTCTGGATATGCAGTCTTACATCTGTATTGATCTAGCGATGGAAAAAAATCGCCTGGTTCTGTAAATTTGTTTCAGTGTTAAAAATAAATGACCGAATGAACTGGATAATACATAATCAAAAATAAAAGGAAAACAGGTGTCCAGACGTCCTCAAATTATAAAAGGATAACCTTCTCTGAGTCAAGCTTCGTTCTTTCATTGTCCTTTTCTCTCCATGTCACGCGAATTTAATACAAAAATTGATAAATCGATTTTTTTTTTAAGTAGAACTTATGTTTTTCAGTCACCCTATATGCAAAGCTAAGTGGTATAAATTTTGGTCTGGGATGTTCTTCTGATTCCTTCATCTAAAGAATTTGAGCTTAACTGATCAATATTGAATCATTTCTGTTGTAGAATATACCACGTTGCAGTAACTATTGATTTGCATAACGTTTATCGTTCACAAAATAAAATAAGGTAAAGTACAAAATCCATTCATTATTTAATCATTTGCCTTTATCTACATTCCTAAAACATAATTATATCCTAACATAATATTTATCATCTACTTTCTCCATACTTTTTCGATCTCTTTCATTACCGACAAACACTTTTCCTCCTCCAGTGGTAAAGTAGCTACTTGCACAGCTACAGGTAAACCTGCCGAATCACGAGCTGCATCCCTTAATATTTTAAGTGCGAAATCAATGCCTGCAAGTTTTTCCTTTCAAAATCCAAGTCTAGAAATCTGAATGAGCCTTAAAAGAATCAGCTGTTGCTTAGAGAAGAAGGTAAGAAATGAAGAGTACCTGTATGCCAGAAAGCTTCATCAGCTAATAATCTATCATCATCCGAATTAACTGTTCCTGTAGGCACAATTCCAGCTGGAAAATCCAACAAATTGAACAAACCGGTAGCAAAAGCGCATGTTCCGAGACGGCTTGGATAAGCGTGCGGTACAGCCGGAACTGCAAACGTTAAAAATTTTATTTCGTTCAACACTTAAATAGCTGCAAAGATGTCACTAAAGACATTTTATTAATGAAGAAACACCACTACCTGCAAATGCAGGACATATAAGTGCATCCAGCTCGAATGTTTTCCACTGCTCTGTAAACTGCAAATAAATTATAAAGAATTCCTGAAATGCGTTATAAAAAATTTGCTCCATCAGAAATAAAATCTTCGAACTCTGCTTTATATGAACAGTCCCTCAACCATTACTGTCAAAGATGTTCATACTTTAATGTCTAATTATCTCTTCCTTTATCCTTTTTGCTTTCATCGTAATGTCAGCTTACCGCAGCTAAAGACCAGAAAAATATAATTTACTTTAAAGAAAAAAAAACCTTTTCTATGTATTGGTCAGTCAATTTTTGTGTTATTTGAAGATCTTGAAGATTTCTAATGTATGAGCCAGAGACTATCGATAGTGGCGTACTGATAAATGATAGAACGTAACTAATAATACTGCATAAAAGAAGCGGTAGCTGCAATTAAAACTACTTAACATCTCAAATGTGAGTATTTAAGACAAGTGCTTGCGTTTATTTTTAGTAAGTTATTTGTAATAGTTTTTTTCTTTGATCACATAAAATACTCGGCATTCACGGCATACCAACAATCTCAACCTTCCTTCCAAATGTGTAATTTCAGGTTCCATTTATCTCAGTGTTATGGTATATTCACCATTTCTTTACCTATAACATGCTGTTTTTAAAATATATTGTGAAATGGAGCAAAAGCAAAAAAGAGCCAACCTTAAGGAGGAAGACAAAAGTACGAAGAAGTGGAGGGATCACTTCATTTGCATATATTTGCAGTAACTGTTCTCTTCCATACGGTAAAATGGCACGATAAAATAGTGAAGCAGCATGTTCTGGATCAGGTAAATGAAACAACACCAATTCATGTCCAAGTTCTCTCAATTTTTCAACCGTTTGCACAACAACTCTCGAACAACTAAAACAGTAAGTGTTTATACCTTATTTTAATGCCAAAAATCTGGAACAATTCTGTGAAAGATGATTAATTCCAATAAATATTAACATACGTTAAAGATTATAGAAAAAGTAACTTACGCTGGAACAGGCTTCATAAAACCATCTTCAACAAAATAACCAATACGAAGATGTCGACTGTTTGCAACAGTAAGCTTGTTTTCATTTAGAGGAAAAAGTGGTTGATGTGGAACCAGTTCATGGTATTCAACTGATCCTAACAAGATTTTAAGTAAGAAAATTTGTTCATCGACAGTTTTGGTGAAGAAACCGTAACCTAGTGATAAACGAGTCTTACCACTACATCCATTCAGTGTATAATTCGTCTTTAAACGTCCTGAAAAGAGATAAAGGATTATTTCTGGAAATATTTATGAAAATCTCGACACAAATAAAGTGAAAACAATGATGCTGAATAGTGGAACCTTCTGTTGGTTTCAGAGTTGTGGCACCACAAAAACTTGCCGGAATTCTCAAACTACCAGCTAAATCACTTCCAGTCCCAAATGTACTTCCGCCAGCAACAAACAGTGCACAATCTCCTCCAGATGAGCCTCCTGGTGTTCTAAAAAGAAATTTGTTTTTTAAAAAATTTCTATGCCTCTAAGACTTGGAAATTAAAACATTTCATAGAACAAAAATTTATTTAAAAAAAGGGAGAAGAAAAGCAAATGTAACGCTGATTTTTGTACTAATTGAAAATCGGTTGCAAAACAATAAATCACCAAAGATCCATAAAAACTTCTCATTCAGATTTCAGTGATGAAATAATTACAGCCGTGAAACTAATTACAAGCTATATGCGTTAATTAAACCGTCTTCTGAAATCACTGTGATCCGATGCAGCCAATGCTTAGGCCATGTAATAACAAAATACACCTGGAATGCGAGTGTGGATTCGAAGTTATTCCGTATAAACTACTGCAACAAGCGAAACTCAACAATCCTTGGGGAACGGTTGTCATAACAAATGGTATTGCACCTTGAGATCGCAAAAAAGTTACCAACGTGCAATCATTTTCCACTGGATTTTGTAAAAACTTTGCAAGTCCAATAGTACAATCATAACCTTTCATCTGAAATGATGAAGAATGTCTATGTCCGAATATAAATTCAGTTATATTAGGAAATAACATGGGAAGCATTATACTCACATGAAAATTTCCTTTCACGCTGAATGGCATACCAAAAAGCGGCGGTTTTCCAGAAACGTTATTCCATTGTGCATCCAAATTTTTGGCTTGCTCAAAAGATTCATCCAAGAAATCGATAACACAATTAATTTCTCTCTGCACCATTTCAGCCTTCCAGACGAAAGCGTTTAATACATCCACAGCAGTTAAGGAGTCATTTTGCAATTCATCTTGAAAAAACAAGAGGTATCAGTTTTCCAAAAGAATAATGACCGGCCAATGAAGCTAAGCTATTCTGTAGAGCTATGCTAAAACTTCCAACTCAAATAATTTCAGCTAGAAATACACTTTATAAGTCGGATACCATCTGAAAAGAATTTGAGACACAAATATCTATTAAAGTACAATATTCAAGACCTTAATGATTTGCCTAGCAGAAAGTTCACTGAAAAACTGCTTGAAGTTAAAAATAATAAGACTGAATTAGCATTCGGTTTAACACACTCCGCACGGCAACATATTAAAACCAATAATCAAGAAGAAAAATATTAAATCAATTAATTAGTTCTGATCAAACTTTATAATAAAAACGAACAGTTAAAACAGATAATGGCTTACCTCGCAATTCGAAGAAATTCAACGACAAAATATGCATTCTTTGCTCCAAAATACCCGAATCATTGGTGCTAACTCTCAAATGAATATCGTTAATATGGCGCTGTCGTTTAACCTCATTCTCGTTGATCATCCTTTGATGAATTGAAACTGCACCCCATGGCTTCAAAATGCTTTTAATTCTAGTCTTGGAACGTAAACTTGAATTAAAGTTTTAAACCATATATAAATATTGAATAAACTGCTTATTCAACTCATCGTTATGTCTTTTTTTTTTACATGATGTAAATGACTTTGTGGATAAATTGCAAGTATAACAATGAATAGATTGATACGTTTTTTAATATATATGCAACCTTTTCGATGATAAATTTGTAAATTGCATGAATAACAGCCGCAGCCCAGGTAAAGACTATAAGAAATCCAGGTAATGTATATGGATGTATCTGAACGATACTCACCAAAATATTCCCCATTTGATATAGTATCCTTCCACAATATATTTCACAATATATCCTTTCAAAAGGCTGTAAAACAAAGCGAAGGAAAAAAGAAATATCTCATTCAAAAAGAATTTCCAAAGTTTTGTTTAAAAAAAAAGACTAAAAAATGTAAAACGAAAACAAATCATAACCTCATAGTGTAAAAAACTCTTTTTGAAATTAAATCAACAAACCAATTAAAAAGATGAAATCCTTAATTTTCACCAAGATTCTTGGCCGAGAAGTAAAAGCAGACATGGGCATTCATAATGGATTGTAGTAAATTTGGATGGGTTTTTGAAAGCGGTAAAATATTTGATTGGCCAATGATTTGAATTTTAACTTCTAAATAACGACTAGACTGGAATATTAGGATAAATTGAAACTAAACTAAAGGAAATATCTCGGGTATTCTCTCAAATATCTCGGATTTTATAGAAAAAAACAATGTAGAAATACTTATCAATATTTATGTTATACAAATCTTGCATATGTTTTTAGGAGATTTTTAATATAAAATAGATTGAATGAAAAGAAAGCAGAAAAAAGCTTAATATTCTCAATAATTCATACAATTGTTGATAAATAATTTTACAATTTTTTTCTTTTTTTGAAACATTTATATTGATTCAAACCGAATTTAATTTATTATCCTATCAAGAATTCAATTTTAGTTTTTAACTAAATTTTAACTATAAAATTTATTATGGACTACCTAACTCTATTTATTTCTCAAATATTCGTATAAAAAAGACGAAAAAAAAGGCAGCAATTCTTGTTATCCTCAAAATATCTATTACACTACTTAACGACCATTAATTCAAATTTATCGGCATTTCAAAGATCAATTCGTTATTTCACCTCATTTTTGTTTATTATTGAGATTCCACAATAAGCTAATAATGAGAGCAAGATTCTGTTAAAAATCCGGATGAAAAAAAGAACAAACCATTCAAGGAAAAGAGATTCTTAAATCACATTTTCATTGAGACTAGAACAAAAACAATTCTAGCAACAAAATTATTCAAAATTACAGTTCTAATAAAAAAAAATGAAATCTGTAGAATGAAGAAAAATTGAAGCTTGAAATTTGAGATCAAATTTGTGGCTCGCAATTAAAATTAATTTTAATTCAAATTGAATTCCGAAAATCATTACTGTCTCTACTAATGGCAATATAAATTTTGAAAAACTTGGTCATACATTTAGCTGAAATTAATTTTCGTTTTACTTAAAATTAGCTAATGCTTTTCAAAACATAATACTTGACAAATGTGCTACTACTATTACAAATTGTAAAAATTAAGCAGATTTTGAGCGTTTCAAAATTGAATTTAAACCTAAGGCTCAAATTTCAATGCCAACTTTACATTTGGATTTTGTATTTGGATATTTAATCATTGTTTCAATATTGATGCTAACAAAGAATAATTTTGAGATAAATAATTTCCTAAATCTTTTTTGTTTGATGTCTTTTCCTTTAATTACAGCAATAAAATAATACTCAGAATTTTGAATTTATAGCCTTTTCGTTTCAACGCTAATGATTCTCTCGCTAAAAATGCATTCAAGCTCCATTGAAATTTCATTATTTCTTAGCATATTAATGCAATTTCAACAAACTATTCACTTAAAATAAAACTTTTAAGCTTTATAAGAAATATATTAATAAATTTTGATTAGCATTCAAAAAGAAAAAATGTTTAACATATTTTTGTTTTATTTTTGCAGCAAATTAATAAATAAAAATCATTAAGCCTAAACTAGAAATTTAAATTCAAACATAAATAGTTAACAAATAAAACCATGACATTTGCAATATTAATGATAATGATCAGATTGCTTCCATGCTATTGTCAATTAATAACAAAAGGGAACGGCATTATGATAGGAAAACTAATTTTATAAAAACGCCTATTTCGAACACATTGATTTTGAAATGTGTTGTCGTTTTAGGTCACCATTGCAACCGATACAACAAATTTTCAAACGAATTTTCAGGACTGAAACGATTGTCGACCGGTTGGTCAACTGAACCGCTCAACCCATTATCATTTGTGTTCTCCGACATTTCCTTTTTCCTGCAATTTAAATTTTATATACGATTAATACCTTTGCCTTTCTTCTCTCTCATCCATTTTCTTGATTTCATTCTCATCCATCATATAATGGATAAGAATGGATATTAATATCTTATCATGCACACCAACGTTCACTTTATCACAAACAAGTAATCATTTGTCTTTCTTATCACAGTTGATAATAATTATTGTTTACCTCAAGATAAATAATCTAGTATAATTTGATTTTAGAAGTATTACACTAAAGACTGCAAATTTTTTAATCTTATTTCTTAATTCTACGTTAAAAGTGATAAGAAATATAAGGATAGTTTAAAATTAATGAATGAAATTGATCATTTTATTAGTTATAAAACTATTATCACATGCAATTAGTTTGAAATAATTTTCAAAATTATATCACAGTTAGATTGAATTAAATCATTTTCTTCCTGCATTTTACCTGGATTTAAATCAAGTTCAAAATATAAAGATCTTTTTTTTTGTACAATCAATTTGACTCTAAAACTATCTGATCAGTTTCCATAAAAAATAAGTATTGCAATTTCTCCTAGATGTTATGATAAATTTTTGAAACATTTAATTTCTCAGATCAAATTTTTGTTCTAAATGATGCTGGACCTAGTAAAAAAAGAAAACAATATCATTGCTAGTCTTTTTTTTCTAAATCAATCCACATTTTATTTTATTATTACATTTAATATTATGTATTTGTTTATGACAATGTTACAATTCTAATTGTTTATTAGAAATATGAATTATAGTTTGTATGATCTCTTTTCTTTTTAAAACAAATGAAATTTAGTGTACATAATTCTTTGGCTTATAAATGATTTATTTGACAATAATATTTATAGAAAATTACGCAAGATTTTTCGTTGATTTCTATCAAATGGTTAAAAAAATTAAACGTTTAATTTAAATTATATGTGAATATTGAAAAGTTTACATTAAAATTTAATGTTTATTTTAATCAGAATTGAATAATCATAACTATGAAGTATTATGTGATCAGTTATTCAATTTAGTAATGCATGAAAATCTCAAAAATTATTTCCATATGATCAATAATGCTTAATAAAGATTATTTCATCTTCAAAAACTCCCCATTTGTTATTTCTTCATTCTCTTCTGCATTTCCTTAAACAAACCTTTCTTCCCATTTTCCTTTTTTTTTATTCTTATTCCTATTTTTCTTTCTCTCACTTTCCTACCCTCTCTCTCTCTCTTTCATTTCTTTCTTTACTTATTGCTTTTTTTCTAATGTATGTGTAAAAAAAAATACGGCCACTATGTCAAAAAGATATTGAAATGACATTGCAGAAATTCGTCGTCTATGCTGTTGTGATTTAAAATGATATTTCTCAGCACTATTTGTTTCTATCCAATCCTAATGATAACAATTATTCTCATCGATACTAACAATGGTCTTTCTGTACCAGCTGGACTTCGTCCAGCTAAAAAAGTTGGTGATCCGAAGGAGCAAATTGTGCCAGGAAAACAACAACAACAACAACAACAAGAGCAAGAACAACAACAACAACAATATGTTATATCTTACTAATTCATTAGAATGGTATAATTAACGTAGCGTGTTTCCATCCCATCCCATCACCGTTATGTTGAATACGGTAAATATGTCGTATACAGACATCCATTAAAAAGCATTTCGTGATCATTAAACTATTCCAACTAATTTCGTTCATTTCATTTAGCATACTTTTATGGCTTATTATCGTTGAAGTAATAAAATAAAATCTATTTTTTTTTTAATCTTAATTATTATTAATTATTGAACATAATAGTTGATGATTAATTATCCTTTGTTAATAACGAATTTTATTTAACTAAGTTCTAGGTTAAAATCATGCATTACTAAATTATATTGCTTGTTTTGTTATCATTTCATTTTATCTGATCATTTGGAATAGTTATTGATTTAGTAATAATTTATTAATTATAAATTTTAATTTGTTTATTAGTTTATTCTGTATTCTTTATTGATTCATTGATTGATTAATTTATAGGATGACAAATTAAACATACCAACACCAAAAGTACCACCAAATCTAACTATAAGATCACGAATGATGGCTGCATTAAGTGCATTATCACGCGATGAAGATAGCAAAGAAAATTCTTCTATGATTGAAGTAACTTTTTAAAAATTTTAAAATATTGTTTGAGTTCAAGAAAATTTATGAAATCAAAGCTTTTCAGGCATATGTAATTCTGGATATAGATCGTTTCGCTAAAACTATAGTATCTTATGAAATGATTAAACGAAAAGAAGAAAAGAAATAGTTGATCTTTGATAATAATAATAATAACAAACTGTAATTAATAAATTTAGACGGATACTTCTTCCAAGCTACCAATAATATTTCCGAAAAGTCATAAGAAAGTTCCTGGAAAGGCAACTTCATCAGGATTTTCGAAAGGAAATGTTCGAGTTATTGTAGCACCACCAGCGGTAGGTTGTTTAATCATTTCTTCAAATTCTCATTTAAGCTATAAAATTATTCTAATAGAAATTAAAAAATTAGTCAAATTAGCAGAAAAAGAAATAACTTTAAGACTGATATTGTTTATTATTACTGCTGTTATTTCTACAGCAATAATAATATTTATTATTGTTTATCATTGATTATTATCATCAATTACCGTTAATTGTCATCGATGCTATTATCATTAGCATGAAATTTATGTTTTATTTTGGAATTAAAGAAAAAATTTGCTTTGGATCTTCTTTCTTGTTCATCCTATCCATTTGAAAATCATTATAAAATATCTCATTTTGTAAATTAAAATTTGCCATAGAAAATTATTTCTTATTTAGCTTGAAATGTATAATTTAGATTAAAATCATTAGTGTAAAATTTCTTCTATATTCTAATTAAGATTTTTGCATTTCGATTTCTTTTTCGATTTTTAGACTCTGGGAAAGAACAATTATGGCTTGAACACAGTTTTACAAACAAATTTGGTTGATTCACGAGGACGTATTATGAAAAATGTTAGTTCGGTACCAATCAAAGTGCCATCATCTGCAGAAATGAAAAATGCTAAAACAAGGTTTATTATATAATTATATTAATTAACACTTTTTTTTTCTCTCTTTCAGATATTTTAGCAAAATAAATGCTAAAATTTTTAATTTTTCTTTTTAAATTATTTTTATTTAAACTAATTTTGAATAGAAACTTTTTGTAAATAGAAGTTAAAAATAAGTAAGTAGATAATCAATAGTATGGATATATCACAGATTAAATAATTTTTCTTTCTTTTTTTTTGATTATAATAAAAGTATTTAATTTTAGACATACTGCACGACAAGTTGAAAGTGATGCAGATAAAGTAGTGCCAATAAAATTTGGTTCAACATCAAGGCGACGTTAAATCAGATATTACTAGTTCAACAATTTTTATCATAACGTATCTTGCTGTAATTTTACTATCATGTTGATCTTATCACAAAAAAGGAACCAGTTTTATTTTTACAATTAATTAATATTACCATGAAATAATTTCCAATTATTTTTTTCTTGAAAATGTCATATCATTCATTATAAGCCCACTTATTATATTGATTTTACTTGGTGCATGGGTTATTTTATTTTTTTTTCTTTAAAAAAAAGGAAAAAAGTTAATTATTTGTTGCATCTCAAATTTGTTTTTTCCCGAAAGAATTGAAGACTTTTTTTTTGTTGCCATCAGTTTTTTTTTTTTTAATTAGTTTAATGAATTGTTTATTTTTTATTACATCTGCAAGGTTGATTTTTTTCTGGCCATTCAAGATATATGGTCTAAAATATCATAGCAAAATGATATGATATGAAATAATGCTATTTCTCATGCTTAATAATTAGTTTTCAATTAATTCACTATCCAAACAGAAAATTAATAATTTGATGCTAATATAGCGAACAGAAATCATTACTAAAATTTAAGATTCAGCAACTAATAATAAAAAAAAGGTTTCAAATAATACATGGAATTAAGAATTAAGGATATTAAAAATAATTGTTGAAATTCAAAGGTGAAAAATTTAAATTCATCCGTAAAATCAATGAACTGCATTCAACAGTCAATATTTCACAAACAAAATTTACTTGCAATCAGTGTAAATTAGTAATGATAGTGTTTCTTTTGAATAATTAATAAACTGTATTTTTGATGGGATAATTTTTACAATATGCAATTTTATTAGCTAAAATTTTGATAAATATTAAGCAAGCATAAGCTTATTAAAAGCTTCCAAATCAAAAAAAAAAAACAAACAAAATCTTAAAAGCGTGTTGATTTAAAGTTACCTATCAACATATTAAAAAATTACCAAGTCTATGAAGTGAGATGAAAAGAAAGCAAGAAGGAGACAGAGAGAAAAGGAGAGAGAGGAGAAAAAAATGCAGTTGTTTTGAATGTTTTTTTAATTGATTTATGATAACTTGATCTGAAATATGAAGTTTTGTCAATGATAAAAAAGATAAATGGACAAATATCAAAACTTTGATGATTTTTAAATTTACTAATCAATTACTGGTACTTGTTGTACAGGTGAAAAGATTTCAGAATGCATTTGGTAGTTAGTGGCAAATATTTCTTTTTTTTTCTTTAATTTGTTGAAATGATTCTTACATTTTAAAATAGCAACGATTTACTTTCGCCAAAAGTTAGCGAAATCATGAGATTTGTTTGCATATAACTGACCATATGCTATATATTTGAATATAATTAATTACTGAGCTGGAAAAAGAAGTTAAGGAAAAACGGAATTAAAGGCATTAATTATTTTGTAAGAAATATGGATGTTTAATGTCAAGTCTGTTGTATTAAAAAAATAGATAAACGGAAATGAATAAAATCATGTTTTGTTTTTTCTTTCAGTTTATAAGTCATAAAAATTTATAATGTATAAATAGGGTATACGATTTTTATACTAAGATTTTGCATTTTTTTTTTAAATTCACTTTAAAATATTTTTTGTTTTTTCTTTTAGCAATATACATGTTCATGTGATCAGTATCAGTTGGGAAATCGCTGGAATTACGACGCAATTAAATTTAATTTCATAAAACATTGCTATGATAATTTTTCAACTCTGTTGAAAAAAAATTTTTCTTTCCTCTTCTTTCTATTTCTTTTTCCACAAGTTTAACATGAAATATTTAAATAATACGAAATTTTCAGCGGAAATTGTTGCTTTTGTTACAAATTTATATCTGAAAGAAAACATAAAAGAAAGCGAAAGAAAAAGAAAGATACAGAAGAGAGGAAATTTTTTGATAAATTGATTAATTGCCCATGTTGTCATTTTGCTAAGATAAGGCTGATATCACCGCCAGTAGCAGCAACGATAAGAAAAATTTTTTAAATGAGACTGAAAAAATTAAAATTTCAAAGGATAGTTTACCATATCAACAATTTGATGCTCCTTTTTTTGTTGCTCATTTTTTCATTTCAATTATAATTTATTAGAAATTACTAATTTTTTAAAACTTTCATTCCAGTTATTTATCTAAAATGTTTGTCCGAATGCCACATATTTTTGTCATCACTAACATGAAAAGTACAAGTATGAAGACATATCGTAATTAAGAACAAAATTCGAAAACTGGGAAAAAAATTCTTGAGCTTTTCTTACATTTTTTCTTTCATTTTGAAGATTGTAGCAAAGAAATGAATGGTATTTAATTTTAGTTTCAAAAAAATGATAATATTTTCAAAATTATCACACTACCCTATGTATTACAATTTATTTATATAAACGTTTTCGGTTTTCCTAAACTAAAAAAAAAGGTCCAGGATTTATTTTTAACATTTATTTACCATTAATTAAAATAGATCGAAATTTCGTTTCTTTCTTTATTTTAATTCACATTAATGGGGTTTAAATTTATTTAGAAGAAATATGCAAAGACACAAATAAATAAATGCAATAAAAATTGGTAAGCAGAACTAGCGTTCTGGGTTGAATCAAAATTTGAGTTAAAGTCTCATGAGACTCTTTGAAAGGCGTTGGTTGATATGTACAGGAGGACAGTGGTCATAGAAGTTGGATAACGCCAACCACCTGCCAAATCAACTAGTCCTGAAAATAGAAGGCGCTTGAGCGGGAAACTTGTACTCAACCGTTGCATGGCTTGTGTTTTTTTTTTTTTTTTTTGGGAAATCTGGCCGCAACGAGTAAGAGGGTCGCAATGGTTAGCGTTGAAGACTTTGGGCGTAGGCCCGGTTGAAGCTTCCATTGGTGCAGATCTTGGTGGTAGTAGCAAATATTCAAGTGAGATCCTTGAAGACTGAAGTGGAGAAGGGTTCCACGTGAACAGCAGTTGAATGTGGGTCAGTCGATCCTAAGATATTGGCTAGTGCCGTTTTTTAAAATAAAATAGAGGAATGGAGGTGTAATGTATCTGATAAATCAAAAGAGAGAGAGGTTAATATTCTCGTTGTACCTGGATACGGAGGTAAATGGTCACTGTGAGGATTTAGCACGGAACGCAAATGAATTCGGGAACATCCGGTTTAGCTGGAGATAGGAAGTTGCATCCGTAAAGCGCCACGGTTCCTGTGGTGCCTAATGAAAACGAAAAATGGAATAATTCATCCGTTTGTCAAAAACGTATGAAAGTATGCAGAATAAAAACAATTTCCCTTTCAATTTAAGCTACAAAAAAAAAAAAAAAAAAAAATTATTTGAGTGGTCTAATCAATAAACTTTCCGGATTTTTGTTTTGAAAATATATACATATATATGGACAACCTAAAAAAATACTTCAGTATCGATAATATTTCCTCTTCTTTAAATTGAAATTGCATAAAGTCTTGAAAATTTTAGTTTAATTCTCATATCAAGCAATCGGTTTTTTTGTGTAGATTCAAATTAAACTCAAAAAGAAAACTGAACAATTACAGCGGAAGATTATGATGGTCAGCGCACATTTAAATTCATACTTGTTATTGAAATAACATCAGTGTCACATGAAATAAAATAATATTTAATAATAATAGTAATAACGGTAATGACAATTATAATAATAGCAATTAATAAATAATAATAATAATAAGTGGTACTAATAATGAAAATGATAATGGTAATAATAATTATAGCAGTGAGATGAATAATTTTACTTCACTTACATCAAAAAAAAAAAACTTTTACAGCAATCGAACTTCGTTTTTAATTCAAATTCCTTCATGTGAAAACTTACCTATCTTAAATTAAAATTCAAATTGCATTATTTTTCAACTTAAATAATTCTATGTTAGTGTAAAGATCACAGTTATACTATTTCAAATGATTTACTTCAATAAGGTTAATTTTATTAAACATTTATCGAATGGAATACTTTATGATTAGCAAAGTTAATCAATAAAAGAATTTCATATACAGTGGTAATCGACAAATAATTTATTCCATCAGAAAGTGAATGATTCAAGTGGGTAGCTTTGACAGCGATTTCTTTCCTTGGATTGTTCTCATAACAAAACAGTTCTATTATTTTAGATTTTTCATAGGTAAAATATTATTGCAACATTAACTAATGGCAAGAAATATTATTCGTACAGGTGTGACATTATATACTGTGAATAGAAATAACAATGGATAGATTTTTTTTATTTTTAAGAAAAATACTTCTTGATTTAATAAATATATACAGTTTAAGTTTAAAAATTTTCTGTTTCAAATCATTTCATTAAGGACTTCATTTACCATTGAAATCTCACTAAGTTACGAGATTTAATTTCAACTTTTATTTGATGCCAGCACTCATCAATTTTACGCTAGGATAGCATTTAGGGTTGACAGATAAAGATAAAAGATAAAAATGATAAATGATCATCAAAACATTGCACCAGTTAAACTATTAAGCTATTTAATAAGTCGTATTTCAATTAACATAGTCTTATCCTGATCTTTTTTTTTAATTAGTCTGGGATGTCATAAAGGATTCCCGGTTTAATCGAAGAAAAACTGAATTTTTGAAATTTCATATTGAAATATTAATCTGTGAAATTTGAAATTACTAGAAGATATGACAAAATATCTGGGAAAAATACATACAGAATCATATACAGCTAGTCAATAAATTTCATGCAAATGAAAAATGATTGAAATTGAAAATACAAATATTTGAAATTTTTTTATAATAGCAAAATTATCTACCTGAGAAGGACAAATGCAATAAACATAAATTAAAAAGGACAAATAAAATTTCTAAATTTCTATCCATTCATTTCGGTGAGAATTGAATTGGTAGAAAGATTAAGAATAATTTCGAAAATGCAATTTGTATATTACATTAAAAAAATTAAAGGATAGATTAAAGGTACCTAATAAAGAGGTACATAATATACTGAAAAGTTCCACAACCAAAATTTAAAATTTAAAAAAAAATAATTTTACATAAATTAATTACAATTAATTACATCATTGCTTATATTAGTTAATTACACACAGTTTTACATATTTTAATAAAATAATTATTATTGTCGTTATTATTAATAAGCAAAGAATATTGTTTATAAAGTCTATCAGATTTTTTCGATTTTTCATTTTTGTTTAAATTATTATTCAAACTACGACGAATTCATAATAGAATCTGAAATAGATGATGCAATAAATTTTCAATCCATTACTTTTTTTTAAATTAATGTTATTATTACTGTTATTTCTATCTCAATAATTAATTATTATTATACGGCAGCACAACTTTCATAACACTTATGATTAGCAATAAAATGATTGTGATGTCCATCTTCTTTTCCATCTGAACAACTGTATTTTACAATCATCGGATGGCATTGTTCACGCTCCAGGCAGCGCTTTTGTTCGAAATAGATCATACAACTATAATTTTATAACAATACAATAATTATAAAAAATCATTTTAATTTAATAAAAATTTATTAGAATAATATAATTCATGTACGACTTATGTAAATTAATGAAATGATTTTTAATAATTGGACAGATTATTAATTACCAAAAATTTACCTGTCTTAAGTTAGATAACTTAGTTTCAATTATATAACTTAGATAACTTAGTTTTTGCTGTTTAATTTTTGAGATGAGAATGAGTGAAATTTTCATATTTAAACAAATGATATTTTAGCATATGACACGATGGAAATTTATCTCAATGATGATATCTTGAAAATAAAATGATACAGCAAAATGATGAAGGTGTGAAGAAAAAAGTTATTGTTTTATTCTCAAATGTACCTTTTAAACACCTTTCAAGTGCACCTCCAATGTACCTCGTTTAATAAGCAAAGAATGATTAACATTTTCATCATATCATTTAAAATTTACCTATAAACAACATTTAATTGCCATAAATGCATGATGGACAAAATAAGGAATAAGATGACAGATGTGATAACGAATATCACGATAAATGTATCACTAAGTCGTATTTTCATATAATATCCTGTAAAAATTTTAATTTTTATTAATTCAATTTATAGCATCACATACTTGATATTTTTGAAAAGATGTAAAATTATACTGTAAAAAAAATATATGTTAAATTTATTAAAATTTAATGCAATAAATGATAGCACATATTTGATATGGTTATATAAATGACAATATCATGATATATTTTGAACAAAATCATTTTAAAAAATTATCATTTATCAACAATATATATTATAATAATATTATGATTAATAGGAGAAAGAAATACTTCAGAAAATTTTTTGATAAAATTTCTAATCTGATTAATTCTTACCAACAATTTGCCTAAAAGTACCATAATTGGCAGCTGTAAATGTAATTATTACAAGTACAGTCACAATACAAAGTATTATATGAGCACTCTGAAATTAATGATATTATATCAGAAATGAAATCAGTTATTAAAGCAAATTTCTTCTTACTTAATTCATGCTTTTCTTTTTTAATAATAAAATCATCTCATAAAATTTTTGTAAAATTTAATACATTGAAGGAAAAGAAAAAGAAAAATTATAATTAAAACAAACCGATATAATTAAAAATGGATATAAATATTTATGTTTTTCCGTGTATAATGCATAAATACTTAATGAAGCAACTATAAATGGTATCACAGACCAAATTATAGCTGATTTCATCGCAAATGTAAAAATGATAATTGATAAGGCCACATAAGTTAATAGAAATAACTTGGTACCAGTATGAAAAAACCATTTTACAATTTCAAAAATTAAATTCAAATAGAAGAGAAAATGCTATATATTGCGCTAATTAAACTCATGTACAATTATCAAAAACTGAAAAAAAAAAAACAAAAATAATAAGAGGTTAATAGTAAAGTTTGTATTTACCAGATTAAATATTTAGTTAAATCTAGATATGAATAAAGTGAAGAACAAGAATCTCATAAAAGTAAAATTTGTTTTCTAAACTTTGATTTTAAAGTGCACGATTATTTTTACTAGTATTTTAAATAAGAGCGGAAATGTTCAAAAATATAGCATTTACCTGCAAATAATTAATCAATTAAAATATCTTAAGAGTTAGAAGTATTAATTTACAGAAAAAATTAAATCAAAGCAATGATTCCAAATTTTCAAAGCACGAAAAAGAATAGAACAGCATCTAGTGACAGAAAAGGAAAATACCTACCACAGTATGCATAAGATTGCAACAGCAACGAATTTGCGACAATTGCGCCGATGCATTGATGAATTTAACTTTATGTTTCATGCAATTATTGTCTTCTTGAATAACATCTTCTACTCGTTCATATCCAATTGTACTTTCTCGTTGCGGATTAACTGATAAAACAAGTCAATATAATGATAAGATTTGAAATAAGAGATTTATTTATCAAAATTTGTCTAGCAAAAACTCTTTTTTCTATCAAAAAAAGAGTTTATTAACTAAAAAATCAGCAAATAAAACAATTATACTCAATTCTCATAAAATTTCAAAATAAAAAAAAGAAATAGAAATTCAAATAAAGTTGCTCTACTATACAAGATTTAAAAGCTTTGCTGTCCAAAATATCAATTCAAATTTCATTATAAGAATTAGTGGCACTCATTTTATAAATCGATTTGCTTCGAAAAATTGTTTTATTCGTTTATCTCTATTTAGGTAAAATTTTCAAATAAACATTTTTATTTTGACTAATTTAATTATTAAAATGTTAAAATAAAAAAAAAAAATTTGTTTTTGAAAAAAACTTACTTTTCTTGCAATTTTTTTTTTAAATTATTTGTCACATTTACTGCTTACCATTTAATTCAATTTTATCATTTATAAATGGAAAGTTATATATTATGGGATAGAAATGAATGCATATGCAAACATTTAACTTACCAATAAAGTTAACCTTTGAAATTTTCTTAGGTTTACATTGTTGTGATGATGCTATATTGGTATATGGTAAAGGTGAGTATTCAGCTAATGCTCGAGCACGCTCCAAATAATTCACCATTTTTTTTGCCGCAACATTTATTAATTACAATTAGCCGAACATATTTCCTTGCTTTTTTTTTATTTTTTATTATTTCTTTCCTCTTTTTTTTTTTTTTTTTTTTGTTTTGGTGGAAGGACACCTAAAATTATTACACAAATTAAAAATTATTATATAAATTATCGTAATTTTAAGAAACAACAGAAACAATCATTGTTTCAAGTTTTTCAAAAAATAAATAAATAACATTGTTTATAATTTTTAAAAGATAAATAAATAAGCATTTATCAAAAAAAAAAAAAAAAAAGAAAAAGAAAAAAATTTAATAAATTGAATGATTGTATTGCTATTTGTTTCAATTTTTTCATTCGCTAACATATATTTTGTCATACTATTTGTTTGAATTCTTTCATCCGATAATATATATTTATTGAATTATAGAATAATTCACTAATTTGAAATTCATTTCAAACTAAACAAATAAAGCAATGAAGGAAAGGAATGAAAGAATGAATTGTAATTTATCATTTTGCTGTTAGAGCTCTTTTTTCTTCGTTTTTTGTTATAATACTTTTATTTTTCAAAAAAAAAAAAAAAACCTTATTATTTTGAGGAATACGAGAATGTTTGAAAACAGGAAAAGCTTAGCTTAAAAAGAAAAAGCTGCTTTGATGTGGATCGATTGAGCCAATGACTATCTGTCAAAGTTTTTTTCAGAAAAGTAGTTTCAAAAAAAAAAAAAAGGAAAAAAAATGAAAAAGGAAGAGAAGAAAAAAAAAGAAATAATTGTGACGTTAAAAAAGTGAGGAAAAAAGCAAATAATAAGCGCCATCTTACTAAGAAATTTAACAAATTTTATGATGTAGTCTAGATTAGATTAGATAGATCAATTGAATCTAGATAAATTGAAATCACTTTAAATTTCGTCACTTTACCATAAAATTTTCTGATCACTTCATCACCACAACAGAAATAATGAAAATTGAAACGGAAATAAATAATAACAAATAAATTCAACAAAAAGTTAATTTAGTCAATTATTCACAAGCGAATTGAATTTTTTGGGAAATCCAAAACAAAAAAAATTATTTAGGATTAAAAAGTATGCCAAATACAAACATACACATTTATTTGCCAACCACATATACACATCCATATATGTATATATTTTTATACATACATACATTATACATACACACATACAGACACATGCACACACACATCCATTCACACACATATGCATACATGCACACGCATACACACATTTGAAATCAAGTGTGTTCATCCGTTTTATTTCACTTTTTTTCCTGTTAAAGCATGGTTGGAGCAAATTTCCCAAAGGAATGACATATTTGACTTCCCACAATTCCCGGTATCTCCTGTCAACGAATAATTTTAAAATTATATTTTTTCTTGTCATGCACCAAAAATTTGTTGCATTGTTTACACATTGTGAAATTTAAAACGTTACTTTTTTTTTTTGCTTTTTCGGTTATTTTAGGAAAGAACTTAGAGTTTTGATTTGTATTAAAATCTATTAAGTTATAAAATATTGTATATTTCGAAAAATTATAAATTTAATAAATTTATTTGCTATAAAAGAAACCAATTGATAATGTACTTTGATTTTTTTTTTTTGGAAACAAATTTTCAATTTAGTAAAAGAAACTTTAGGAAATTGTTTTTGTAAGTTCAAACAACAAGGTTTGAAAATTTTTTGCATGAATACAAAGTATAATCATCGATGTAATCTTTCGTCATTCATTTTACTTATCCCATAAAAAGTTGAAATTAATTCTAATTCGACTTTACTTTAACTCAACGTTTCAATAATCATGGTAATTTCCAGTAATAGATAAATTTTTAATTGTTCGAAAATTTCGGATTTATGCTTCCCATTGTTAAATTTACTAAATTGTTAACGAATCTATACTAAATTTCCAAATTCTCCAAAGCATTTTCTAACAAGAATTTGTTCTACAGAGATATTACTTATTTAAAAAAAGTTGAAAAAAAAAAAACACTGATTTGTTGTTACACATCATCTGATGCATATAAATAAAAGCTTTTTTTGTGAAATTTTGAAAAGGCAGAAAAAAAAAATTTTTACTAATAGATCATCAAATGATAAATAGTACAAGACTATAGCAATGACATATTTAATATCTCCTCAAGTCTAAAATTAACAAAATGATAAAATAGAGCCAGGTTCAACATGCTTTTTCATCTATCAGTACTCATTTAAATACTGAAATTAAACAATTAACTAGACCCAAGGTAATCACTGGTTCAAGAATATTTACCAAATTAACCATTTTCTTCTTTTTTTTGAAAAGGTTACGCAACTCCTCGATATCCTAAACTATATGATTTCAGACGATAAATTTTAATACACTCCAGTTCAAATATACCTCATTGCAAAAACTGCAATAATTGATATATATGTATGGCTGTGTCACCAAACGAAGATCACTTTGTTGATACCTGTAACATTAAAAAAATTAAAAAATCCATCCGTTAGAATTTGATAAACTTTTGGGAAGCTCATTTTCCCTTCATGAAATCATTAGAATAAGTGAAGAAGTGATAACTGATTAATGGAAGTTGAGCACATATAACACATAAAGTAAAATTTCGTAGTTTAATTTCATTCAACTTCTAAAGCACTGATTTTATGACGAGCAGTGAGAAATTGCCGGCATTGAATTAGGTCTTTCCTGTCGATCATTTGATAACTTGCATCCCAATTTTTGCTAAATTTTACCAATTTACTGAGTAATATCTCTTAAATGCATCAGTTTTGCCAGAATTCAAAAACACATAATTTATGATAACAATTAACTAAAATGATTAAACCGTCTAAGTATTTGTTGTCAAAATTATCAGAAATAATTCGTTGTAGATGTAGTATAAAAGAAGACAATTTCAAACAGCTTTTTCAATTATCAACCAGAAAACGAGATCCGTTTTTTTTATTTTTATCATTACTTACCAGATTTTATTTTGCCCATTTGTAGCAAATGTTAAATTGCTCTGGAATGGTTCATAATTAGTTTAAGCTATTTAAATTGTCATATAATTATAAGGAATAATTGTTCTCATTTGATCATCCAATAACTTTTGATAACAGACTCATTTCTTTCATAACCATCTGATTCACAATGCATTTCTCAGTCAAAAAAAAGAAAAAAGAAAAAACGTCATTGATATTGCCAGTTCCCTCTACGATTCATTTCGAATTTAAAAGAAAAAATATTCAAATTTACTCTCTTTGTTTAACATCATTCTCCTAAACAAAATCTAACATGTAATAATTAATAACAATAATGCTAGTAAAACAAAGACCGTGAAGCAAAAAAAAAGAGCATTAAATATGATGTAACTGCATTTTTCTATGAATACATTCTAATATAAAACAAATAGCAGTATGCAAACCGTATTTCGTTTTGTACCAATCTAATAAAACAAGAAATATTTGTCAAAAAATTCCGCAAATTTCAAATCCTATAAATGTATCTGAAGCTCTGTAAAGATTAATTCAGTTAATTTTAAGGTGTGCCAATAATAATAATACTTGATCCTATCCACCACCGCTTCATCCAAACTCTCTCTTGCCTCCTTTAAACACCTTTTTCTAACTCTAGTTTTGGTGTCTTGTCCATTTCTTTCTCACTCAACGGCTTAACATAATTTAGAACTGAGATACCAGATACATCTTGAGCCCATTCCTGTTCGTTTACTGAAAAAGATTTCGTAGCACATTTCTAATGAAGTGAAATTATGAAAAAAAGAAATTACAAATAGATATAAGAAATGAAATTGAAAAAAGAAAAAAAAAATCGCTTGCCTGTACCAAATAACTGGAAAATTGCGCCAGTCAATATTAGTATGCATATCATAATTATGAAAACAGTCTTCCATTCTGACATAACACTCTAAAATTATGAGCAAAATGTTTAAAAGTAAACAAGTAACCCTTCTCTTCTATAGAAGCTTCAATTCTTATAACGCTGTTTAATACCCTACCCGATATTATAGGCGAAAACAAAAATTTTTTAGTGCTCTAGAAAGTATTAATATTCACCTACATCTAACAAACTGATTTGTTTGACTTATATGAATTTCCGTTTCCGTTAGGACAGCTCCTATTCTTAGCGACTTAGTTGCTACTGCAAGCATACATGAGAACTTTTCATTGTCCTGAAATGTATACTACAGGAAGTTGAAATGTGAAAGAATCTTAAACCTAACTTAATGCTTTCTACAGGAATGCACTAAGGTTGAGTTGCCTAAAAAAATATATTATAATGTAGTAAAACCTTTATGGTGATCATTCCAATGATATAAGGTGAGGTAATGGAACCAACTGTTCCCCAAAGCCTACAGAATGAAGCCACTGATGATGTATACTTTGGAGCAATACATACAATACTGCAAATATTTCATTTGTTGAGATTATACCAATTACATTAAAATATTAGCTATGAAATATTGACTATAAAAATTACTTTACTTTAGGTTTATTTATTTTTAAATCTGATTTTTTTTAAAGTCTTGCTGAACTGTCACAACAAATTTTCCTTTTCCAATAAAATCCTAACAGTATTTTCATGAAAATTTTCGAAATGTCTCCGAAAAATTCTTCTATTTTATGATGGCTGAAATTTTTAGAATAGTACAAAAAAAACCTGGTATTGTATCCTAGAACAAAACCAGATAAAATACCCATTGCAAAACACATGAAAAATACAGCCTTTTTTCGATGACTGTAGTCAAAAAATATTAGTGCAGTAAAGCAGCATGCACCACCAAGTGATGCTGTAAAAAAAAAAGCTATAAAATCATATGAATCTAAGAAAACTTTATAAATTTCAGTTAAGTGAAATCAAATCAAAACTGAAAATTAACCTCAAATGATCTTCATACATACCATTATATAATTAAAAAAAAAAAAAAAAAACAAAACTTGCCGCATGAATTGCATATCTTTGTAACTTGATTTGGTGAAAAACCAATTTCCTTCGCTTTGTCTGCAAGACCAGCAAATACTAATTTACTTAGTAACTGACAAATGAAAGGCAGTGCCGAAAGTACACCGTTCTGGAATATGCACAAATAAAATTAAGAGGCTAAACCAACACTGTCTAATCATTTAATGCAATATGACCTAAGTAGCATCAAGACATGATGAACAACACATCGGATGCCAAGCAATCTGAAATGTATTCAGGATATTTACAGTTAAATCATTCTCTTAAATCTACCTAAAAAACAGGCGTATTTGATACCGATTGATACTAGCATATGATAATATTACAAAGTTTCTAAATCTCTGAACTACTGTTACTTTTAAATGAGATATTATGCTTTGATAAATTTTGTGGTAATATAACACATTTCATAATAAATGTTACAATTATATAAATAAATAATAAAGAAGAGAAGACAGACAGAGTTTCATTTGTCAAAAGTTTAAATTTACGTAAGCTGATTTCAGTCGAAATTAGCACCATTTCATAGCTATTTTTTGATTTAATTTGAAATAAAAAGCTGTAAATAATGTAAAAGAAAAAGTTGAAGTAAAAATAATCATCAGTTCTAATGTAATAACAGATATTACTTACAGAAGTGAGACCCATACTAAGTATAGTTCGATAATAGAGAGGTAAGTATGTCACGGTACCAACAACTACAAATGAATGACAAAATGAACTTAATGCTGTAGACCAGACTGCAGTTGACGATAATATTTTTTGCCATGGGACATTCTGAAATATTCTGCTAAATATTAACATGCAAAATTCTGAGTTTATAGAAGTTATAAAGTGCAAATAAACATTACATCTCCCACTAATTTTATAATTAAATTTCTGTTACATTTTATTAAACCATAAACATTGACCAGAGGAATTACGCGCTTCTGACCGCGTCTATATGCGGAACCAGTGATGTAAGTCAATTCAGCATCTGTGATATGCTTTACACGAGTTGGTACATCTTTTACAACCAGAGACCAACCAAAACATAAACCAATGCCTAATAAACCTAAAAACTGTAATATACGATAAAATTTGATTCGCATGAAAATGAATGTTTTTCTCGAAATTATCAATCATGAATTTTGGGCAAATGAATATCCGTACAGCAAATAAAATACTTAGCGTATAAGTCTCAGGAAGAGTCTTTTAAGTCTCAAGTTTTGTCATGAAATATATGAATAACGATAGTTAGAAAAAAAAAAAAAAACACTTAAGCAGCTCACTGTAGAGATAAAATGCAGCTGGCCAGCCACCAAAAAGTGACATCTGACAAAGTTCGGCTGTGATGAACATTGCAAAAATTATAGATAACTGAAAGAAATTTTGCATTCTAAAAAATTTGAGAGTAAAAATTTCATAATATGTAAATTCATATGATCGACTGACTTTTAAAAATAGAGCAAATGACCAGAAAATTAAAAAAAAAAAAAAAAAAAACTTATTTTTTAAATTATAAACACATTCCAAGAGTAATGAAAAAGATACCTGATTGCCAGTAGTTGCTAGAGCAACCGCTGTACTTTTTTCTGATAACGGAAACCAATGAGCAATAAGTACATTCATGCATGGCGTCAATATACCTTGACCAAAACCCATCAGAAACCGTATGATAATCACGCCGATAACACCAACATTACGTGAAATATATGGAGTTGTTATTGAACCAATAACATTAATAATCGCTCCACCTTGTACAGTATAAGTTGGACCTATCCAGTCACATAGATAACCTAAAATGTGTTAAAATAAATTTTTACAGTTTGATCAAGAGAGCTGAAAGATCATTCAATAAAACATTCTATATGACTGTGCTTCCTACTTCATCAGCTACAGATTCTTTCAGTTCGTTTTTCCTTTTTTTTTTTTTTTATTTTTCGTCATAAAAAATTTTTAAATCAATACTTACTTCCTGGAAACACAACAAGTAAACTACCAAGGTAAAATGCAGCAAAAACCCATGCTTGTTCTTGACCTGTCCACAGTAAATCACCATTCTGAAATGAACATTATCAAAGAACTCTGCAAAAACTAATAACGTGCTATCTCTTCCCTCAAAAAACGAAAAACAATAAATAAACATTCTATCCTTCTTCTAACTGATGCTGCAATTCAGAACATTCTTTAGTAAACAGAATGAATATGAATGAACATCAATCAAATTTATATCACCTATTAAAGGCAACAAACTTACATAATTTCGATTATATTCAAATACTTTGACAGATGAATTTGATAAAATGGTATGATTATGTTTCAGTAGCGGTTCCCCCGATTTTTGAGCTAAAAAAAAAAAAAAAATTCCACAATTTCAACAATCCCTATGTGACTTATAAACATTGTTAGTTTCACTCAGTTTTTAACAATGAATAACTGTTAATAACAAATTCCTTTATAAATTATCATCAGTAGCATAAAGATAAAATAAGTATTGTTACAAGTGATATTAGTAGCATTCAACTGGAATTAATAATAATAGCTAATATGAGCTAATCTATAAAGCAACAAATTAAATAATATAACAAAGTAATAATTTCAATAATATGCTAGTAAAATAGCATTTGTTAAATTTAACTAA